ACTAAAGTTTTTTTTATTTTTTCTGTAAACTAACACTTTATAAAATTACGTATAAAATACCAAAACATCAATAGCAATGGAAACTGAAATGTTAATACTTTCCAACACCTAGCACAATCAGTCAAATATTAAGCGAGTTAAAATATACTCTTTTTTTATTTTAGATATAATTTTTATTTTTCATAAATATTTAGTACCATAACAATGCACAAGGTTGTTTGATTTTTTTTCCCAAGAGATAAAATTAATATTCTATTATGTTAATAAATACTATTATTATAGCATTGTTCTTATTTTCGCAAGTGTGTGTATTTTGCATGCCCTATAGTTAACAGTAATGTTAAATAGTGATAATGATAAATAATATATGCATACCTGATGCCTTTTTAGCTTATTGTTCTGAATTAAACTGTACTGACAATTTTAATCGTCCATTGTAATATTAATTTTTGCTGATTTTACTAATCTGAACAGTATGCAATTAGTTCTATAACAGGTATTAGTAAAAGTTATAACTAATTTAAACTTTGAAGGTCTAATAATTTTGAAGTGGTAAAATCAGTAAATATTATACCTTTCTATGGACAATTAAAAATGTCAGTACAGCATGAATACCATAAAGGAATAAAGTTAAAAAAAATTTTTTTAAATTGATTACTCATTTATTAAAACTTGAAAACAAATTCCAATAATTTAGGATTTTAAAGTCAGGGTGTTTTATTTCTTTTAGGTCTAACGTTCGTTATTTCCACCGGCCGGGTCTAAGACTGCTTAGAATTTAGAAAGATTTAATATTATTTACATTTTACGCTAATTTTGGTTAAGTTTACATCCAGTAAGATAATCATGAATCAACTGAAAGTTCATTTGAAAAATCACACCTATGCACTTGAAATCGGGCAAAATAAAACACCAATTTAACGCTTTTTCGATTTTTAATATTGACCTGTGAATAATTATTTTTTTATTCACTAGAAAATGATAATAAAAGCAATAATTCTGCAGAATATTAAAAATATACATGTATTATGCTATATTTCTACAAAAAAATCTGCATGGGTCATAGAAACGTTGGTAAAATAATTAACTTTTATAAAAAGCGGTATTGTTATAAAAAAAATGTTTCATATGTATATAGCTATATTTTAAATCTCGTAATCCACCATAGAAATTATAGGTTTGTTAAAACTAAAATTTATTAAATTATAAGGTATGCAATCCCTAGGTTATTATTATACCAAAATAAATAATAAATAAATTATGTCGGGTAGGTTACATAACCCCGAATAATGCAATTTTAACCACATTATTGTCTTTACATTGATTGTATATATGTATATATATATATATATATATATGCAGTAACACCCTTATTATTACGACCTTATTATGCGGGCTTTATTTCATATAATGCAAAATATTGAATAATTAAAAAGTATTTTTTTTTTCGAAAAACGTGTAATGACCGATCTACTAATACTGATCAACAAATTATGTAAACGTAAATAATTTATAATTAATATAATTTAATTGTTCTTAATTCCCGCGGGAGTGCGTATGACATGAGATTATAAATGTTAAAAACAATTAGAAACCAAAATAGTCATTGTGTATAATTGCTAAAAGTTGATTATTCAACTTTTGAACTTCAAGTTTCCATCTTATGGAAAATTCAATTAAATGAAATGGTTTCGTTTCAGCAAGTAAAATATTATTAACTCAACACTTCAGTATTTATGGCTAGGGATTTAAGTAAAAAAATTCACATACATTTTTAAAATCATTTATATTGGTTAAATGATAACACTATAATTAATCTATCTTCTTCAGATCTCGCCAAATTGTCTTTTATTTTATATCTAAAATTTAAGAGTTATTATTAACATTCGTAAAACATGAGAATGTCTTTTATTTTTCATTAAAAATGGTCATAACTAGTTTAATAAATAAATTACATTGAAAAAATTTAAACGAAATATTTTTTTCTGAAATTAAAAACCCCTAAACTTAAAAATCGTAGATTTTACCTTTTCTTGTGTACTAACTAATTTTTGTGTGACCCAAAAAAATTGTTATGTAACATAAATTTCACATTTCCCAATCGTCCAGTCAACATGATCAGTTGATAATTCCCAAATAGTAGAGTTTAAAAAATACGTCCTTTTACCAATAAAAAAAAAAAGAAAGTATTATTTAGTATTAAAAATTTAATATGATCTTTATAAACGGAAAGCCGAAAATTAAAAGACTCAAAAACGTATTGGATTATAATATAAGTAGCATATTGTTGTTTAAAAAAAATTGTTCACCGAAAAGTAAGTCGACTCATTTTTTTTAGTATTACGTTATTATGTAATTAATGTGGGTAAAAACTGGGTTAGTAATTATTTGTTCATATAATTTGTTTATTAAAAAAATTAACGTAATATTTTGTAATTAAAAATATTAAATAGTAGTTTAACGTATATAAAATAAAAATTTTAAAATAATTAGAAACTAAATTAGTCATTGTGTATAATTGCTAAAAGTTTATTATTCAAGTTCCCATTTTATTGATAATTTAATTAAATGAAATGGTTTTGTTTTTTTAGGTAAAATATTATTAATTCAACGCTATAAAAATACTAAATAGTAGCTTAAAGTATATATATATTAAAAATTATATTTTAATTAACATATGAGTTTCCCATAGCTTATGAACGTAATTATTAGTTACAAGATGTTCTTTTGTAAAGTACTATTTATTTGTTTTCAATACTAGTAAGAGTGCGCGTGAGATAATAAATTTTAGAATAATGAAAAACCTAGTTAGTCGTTCTGTATAGTTTCTAAAAGTTGGTTGTAGTATGAGTATGTCAAGTATTCGTCCCATAGAAAATGCAATTAAACGAAATGGTTTCGTTTTGGCAGGTAAAAATAATTTTTAATGTTCTTAGTAATTTACTAATAACCCAATCGTTAAACATTTTAGCTTCAATACTTAGTTGCAAAGGTATTGTTTTCACATTAATGTTTTTATTTTTGTGTATGCTCCATGGTGTTTCTTAAGTTGCTTACTTAGTATAGTGTAAGATAAATTAATTATCATTTGGTTCCACACACCCTTTTTACATTTAATTACATATTTTCGCCTTACAAACTAGTTAAAGTTCTACTAGGCAATATTAATTGTTATTAACCTAACTTAACCTTACCATTAGTAAATACTAAAAATAATTTTTATCATCATTAAATCATTTTCACTTTTGTATACAACATAAATATCACATTTTTTAAACAACATATTTCGATAACCAAAAGTCATTTATATCAAAATTCAATAAGTGTTTTAGCCTGTTTTTTTGGTAAAAACATACTTACCAATTTTTTAATACTAAATAATATTATATACAAGGAGGTCTCGTATCTTCGGAAATTCATCATAACTGTAATCAATTAAATCAATTAATAAAGAATTTTATTGACAATAAATGGGCTGATAATCGGATAATTTATTTTTTGTTCTAAAGAATAGTAAAGGTACGTATTTTATGAACTTTTCTACTTGGGATTAATGAATTAAAAATTTGAAGTGGTCGATTGAGAAATGGGAAATTTATAATGTATACATAATATGTAAAAATGATTTAATAATCAAAAAAAATATTTTTTTTAGTAGAATAATACATAGGCATAATTTAAAGATGCTAGGGGAACAAGATTGGACCAATTAATGTAGATAAAATCTTAAAATTTTGTCAAATATACTAAGCCTTTTTTTTTTTGCCAAAATGTATAATGACCGTAATAGGTTATAATTTCCAAATATTTTAATGAACAATAAGTAATATTAATAATGTAGTTGATGAATTAGTCACTCTGTCTGGCTTTCAAAATCCATCTTCAACTTCGTCTATTCTTGGAATAGAGTCATTATTTTAAACTATATATTAGTACATATTGATTATTCATACACAAAGGTATACATGTGATACTTTCATAAAGATGACCTATTTTTTTCAACAATGTTATGAGTATATAATATTTATAGAACTAGATTATATTTAACAAAAATAAGAATTTATGGACATAATATTTTCAGGTGTCACGCATAATAAATGGTACAAGCCTAAATAACATTATCGTTATACTTATAGCGGTAATATTGTTTTTGGTAGTTCTATACTATAAAACAGTAAACCGAAGAAAAACGTCATTGGCAAATCGAATACCCGGCCCAGATGGATTCTTTTTAGTGGGAATGTTGCCCGTTTTACTTGGAGGACCTGAAAAACTATTAATGAATATTTTTAATATTTTAAGAACGTAATTATATATATTCACGTTTATCTACTACATATTATTATTTTTTTTTTATATTCTAATTTTTTACCTATATAAGAGCAACAATAATTTGTTCGTTGTCTTTGTAATACAGTTACGAGAACACTTTATTCAAAGCATGGGTTTTTAATCGATTGTACATTTTTTCTAAAACACCTGAGGTTGTAGAAGCATTTCTTACCAATCCTAATCTGTTCAAGAAGTCTAAAGAATATAATGTGTTTAGCGAATCAATTATAGGCAATGGAATATTTTCAAACAATAAGTTTCATGGATGGAAAAAGAACAGGTGAACTTTTTTAGTTTACTCTCATATTTTTATATTATTATAATTATAGAAAAAACAAAACTTTAAAATTTGTAAATAAAAATAATATAGCGTCAATATGTATAACACATTCTAAAATATATTGTCAACTATTAATACTTGACTTTTAAATTCTAGGAATTTAGTTATTCACTAATATTTATAATATTTCCTTCAAAGCTACCTACTATCAAATATCATTGTAATATGTTTTTATGCTTATAGAAAATTGGTAGCTGCGGGTTTTAAGTTTTCGATGCTTAAATCGTTCGTACCAATATTTTACGAGGAAGCAAAATTCTTGTGCAAAGTATTGTACAAAACAAGGGAAATAAATTCAAATGAATGTGAAATAAGCCCTGCAATCGGTATGGCGACTATGGAGATGATCGGAAGAACCGCTTTCGGTGTAAAATTAAATGCACAGAAAAACGACAAACACGTATTTGTGGAGAATTCACGTATCATCTTGAAGGTTTTAATATTTAATAATGTCATTACTGCAAACCAGACCCAGAATAATACAATTTAAGACTCAGGGCCAGATATTTTTTGGGGGTCAATAGATAGTCAACAAAAAAAAAGTGCCACACCTTTTTAATTATAATCTAAACTTAATTTATAAAAAATCTAAAAATAATAGGAATCGCTTTTTCGTAAATTACTTAAAAGAAAAAATTACATATTTTATTGAATACAATTGCATAAGTAAATTGTTTAACTTCCGTTCCTCTTTTTTTCCCTGCTCTATTTTCCAAACATGCAAGTGTTGTGACATGGCATGTCAGCCTTTTGTAATAAAAATTTGTTTTTTAGATTTATGAATACCGAGTATCACACCCGTGGTTTCTGAACAGGAGTCTGTTTCAGTTGTCGACGTATAAACGTAAACATGACATTAGCCAAAGTATAATTTACCGTTTCATCGAAGATTTAGTCCAGAGAAAAAAAACAGAATTGAAAAATAAGATAAACAGTCAAGGAGAACATAACGAAGAGTGTATGGGATTTAAATCTAAATCTTTTATTGAAATACTGCTCGAGAATGAACATCAGATGTCATTTAACCAAATACGGGATGAAATAACAACTATTATAAGTGGTACGTTTTTATTGAAAAATTTTATTTGGAGAGAATTGGTGTAAGCTATTAAAAATATTCAGACTAGGTTCGTACTTTTATACACTTATAACAAGGCTAAAGGGTTTTTTTTTTTTTAATTTTTCATTATCATAAAATGTATGATAAGTCAAACTGATTGAATGGTCTAGATAAAATTTGATAATATTCGGTCGAAAAAAGTGCAAAAATTGAAAATTAAGGGCCGGGGATTGAAATTAATTATTTATTTATGTTGAGAATCGCCATTCGTGAATATTAAAACATGTTGTTAATTTGAACCAGTGCCATAAATTCAACTCAAAATTAAGTTTCAAAACAAAATTGACAACATTCAATTCCCTAACAGTTAAACAATGTGCACTTGTGACATATAAAAGCATTATGACGCCTAAATCATTAAATAATTCCAAAAAAAACAAGCGTATAAAAATGGCTGTATGTTTTTAATTCTATGTTTTAAAATCTGATTTTAGCGGGTCAAGACACGACAGCTTTTACGAATGCATGTGCAATATTTATGTTGGCTCATCATCAGGATGTACAAAATAAAGTAAACTTTAATTCGTATTCAGTTTTATGAATTCCAAAATTAAATATTATAAATATTCTCGGTAACTAAAAAATGATATATTTTGTATTTCTGCTTATAAATAGGTATTGGAAGAGTTATCAACAATATTTTCTTCTGGCGATCCAGATCGACAACCTACCTATGAGGATTTACAAAAGATGCAATACTTGGAACGTGTAATCAAAGAAACTCTGAGACTATATACCGTTACTCCCTTGTTTGCCAGAAAAGTCGAAAAGGAAACAATGATTGAAGGCTATTTAATCCCTGAAGGTACGGCCGTAGACAAATTCGTTTGATAGATTGCCACATTTGGTGCTTAAATTTACTAATAAAATTTATTTTTAAAAATATCTACAGGGTCAACGTTCGTAATTTGCACTCAGCTTTTACACTTAAATGCAAAATTTTACCCGGAACCAGAAAAGTTTAATCCAGACAACTTCTTGCCCGAAGCATGTCGCAGTCGCCATCCGTATTCGTTCATTCCTTTTAGTGGCGGTTACAGGAATTGCATTGGTATGAAATATGCAATGCTTCAAATAAAAACTGTAATCTCAACATTGGTCAGGTCTTATCGTTTTTATCCGTCGGATAAGTGTCCTAAGCCAGAAAATCTTCGTTTAATGTTTGCGATAACACAAAAATTTGTCGACGGGTGTTACGTTAAAATAGAAGCGAGAACATAATCAATTATTGTAGCATGGTTTTGGACACGAATTATTTACATATTTGGATATGGTTATTTGATTAGATATGTAATCTTATGGGTTAAGGTTTCGTTCTTTTTATAGGTTTTAGATACATCGGAGCTAGTTATATGATTACTTATTATTCAAATAAGGGTTTCATCTGGATAATTGTGTTATCATATTTTTTGGATTTTAGATACATCGGTGTTGGTTAACAAAAATAATATCTATATTTAATAACTAATGACAAATTGTTGGTGTTACCAGAAAATCTTCGTTTAATGTTTGCGATAACACAAAAATTTGTCGACGGGTGTTACGTTAAAATAGAAGCGAGAACATAATCGATTACTGTAGCAGGGTTTTAAATCAATATGGTTACATAAATTTAGGGCAAACCCTTATTTGGTTATTTTTTGGATTTTAGGTTCATCGGTTTTGGTTAACAACAAATTATGCCAATTTGATTGTACTGTCTCATCTTTCAATATATTTTCTAAAAACTGTTTAAGCTGTCTATATACATTTTTTTTAGTTCACTAAATAACCGGGCTTTACTTGTTTGGAAAATGATATCAAGTGTTTTAAATAATTATTTAAAAAATTGTATTATTAATTATAAATGATAATTTATGTTTTTAAAAATACATTTTTCTTACTTATGTATAGAATTTTGCAAGGCATTTTTTATTAATTAACAAAGTATAGAATTGTTGTTCTTTGTACCACAAGTATTAACTGTGCTCATTGACTTTTTGTACGTCAATTTATAAAATAAAATAAAACGATTTGTTCACTATTACTAACAGATTTAACTTGCCATTACTATTACTGCACCATCATGACTATAGTCGTTAAATTCAAACATTTTTTAAAAACCAAAAAAAGTGAAATTTATCGGTCAAGAAATTGTATTGCTTGTTTTGTTGTGCAAATAACATTGTTGGATTACAATACTTAGTGGTTAGAGTAGCAGAAGTCAGCAATCGATATGGCTCGACTCTAAATACAATAATAGTTGGTAGTATCAAATAATCATAACTTAGAAGGGCATTTAATAATTAAAAATCAACGTATAGACAGGTGTAACAATTAAGTTACCTCGGAACAACAACAAATGAAGATTCACTACATTAATTAGATATAAAATGCAATTTGAAAAGGGCTTCGAAATAATGTTGAAAGACTTCAAGTGTGACGGTCTGTCTTTTAGTATAGAAATTATACTATTATGATGTTATTTGTTTTCTGTATTACTCTATGAAGTTGAATCCTGTACACTAACAGAGTTAACGTGTAAAAAAAAATTGAATTTCAATGAAAAGTCACACAACAATTCCTTAATAAATAAATATATGTATGTATATTTTTAAGTAAAGAAATTTAAAAAAATACATGAAAATATTGACTGTTTATTGGCAATGTATCCTTGGAGATACAGCAACTATAATATCAGTTCTTGTCAAACACAAAACAATTCATAACTTTGAACTTTAAAGTCCAGTATTTATTTTTTTTATCGCATTTTTTGGGTTCAGTGACCTCAAATTAGTCATTACATTTTGTACAGTTCTATTTAAGCTGATTAAGAATGATAAATTGGAATCACTCAACTTTTATTACCAATCGAAACAACAGGGATTAATATATACATTTTTTTTAGAGGTTTATACTTTATACCTTGATATAGGTATTTTGTTTTAATCTAATGGTTAGCTAAACAGTTTCTCAGTACACACATTTACGATATAAAGAACAAACAGAGGTAAGAAAAATGTGGTTAACAATAAAATATATAACAGTAAGATCATATTATGAGAACTTATCTTATATATGATGTTGGTTACTAATATTATCAATACTAGGTCTCAAGCGAAAAAAGTGTAAAAATAAAAACAAATACTGGACTGTCAGTATGCTGTTTAATAATAATAGGTACCTACAATGAAACAAACCTACTTGGCTGATAGCATTTCTTGTAGACAGTAGTCTGTCTACCTCTACAATTACATTTTCAGACGCTGTCGACATCACCAAACTTGACGTTTATCTAAATTTTGATTTGTAATGACCAATGTATAACATTTATTTTTTACTAAAATTAAATACATATACCACGCTCTCTAAACTCTAATCTCATGTCTCCAATATATTATCTCTTATTCATAATCTCTCATCTCGTGTCTCTAATGTCTTATGTCTTATCTCTAACAGAAAGTGAATGTGTAACGCAAAAATGGGGACAATATGAAATTTCTCGTTAAAATGTTTAGTATTAAGAATGATGGGGAAATAAAATAGTTGGGCTAAAGGGCTAGTCTTGTTTAAACGCCTATAAAAAGTTGAAAAAATTACAATTTGGACATATTTTATAGTAGTACATATTATATAATAGATAGACCCAAAAACATTTTTTTTTTATTTTCTTATTTGGATTTATTTAACCAGGCTTCAAAAACTAGGTCATTAGTCTATGTATAAGATACAATGTGCAATGTGATTGATTATTACTACGAATTCTATGTTATATTAATATTCAGTTTTATACATATCAAAAACTGTATAAATTTGTGTACATTATTTTCTTCGAGTGCATCTTTTAGTCAGTTTGGGATGTTATGTTGAATACTGGCAGACGTGTATTCTAGGCAGTCTCGTATGAGGGTATGATGATGCTTAGGGTGGCATTGCAAGTCTGGTAGAAAGGGTGGAGAAGGAGGATAGCTGAAGATTTTGATTTAGGAATGGGGCTAAGACCCCATAAGAAATTAAAAAATAATGAAACCTTTAACTAAAAAACAAATATGTTTTTGAGCTTCTATACTATACCTATGTAGTACATGCAATTTTAGAGAATAGTTTTAATTTTTTCCTAACATGTGTTTTTATGCGTTTAGCAGTTATTTATATCAAAAGATTTACTTGCCATGTTTTTGGCAAAAAAATAAAATCCGTTCAATTCACTTTTACACAATATCCCTATTTGGCTCTAAAAAACATTTTTAAACAATGCCATTGATATAAAGAACTTATATAAAACTAACAAATAAACAATGTTTTAAAAATGGTGGAATATATATTTAATTTGACAGCTTAAACATATTATGGAAAATATATTGAAAGACATGACAGCACCAACTAATTGGTATATGTTATTAGGTATAGTTATTATTTTGGTGAAACCTATACAACTAAAATCTAAAAAACAACGAAACCCTAACCAATGTGTGATTACACAGTTATCCATAAAACCCCTATCCAAATGTGTAAATAATTCTGGTTCAAAACCCTGTTTCAATAATTGATTACGTTCTCGCTTCTATTTTAACGTAACACCCATAAATTTTATTAGTAAATTTAAGCACCAAATGTGGCAATCTATCAAACGAATTTGTCTACGGCCGTACCTTCAGGGATTAAATAGCCTTCAATCATTGTTTCCTTTTCGACTTTTCTGGCAAACAAGGGAGTAACGGTATATAGTCTCAGAGTTTCTTTGATTACACGTTCCAAGTATTGCATCTTCTGTAAATCCTCATAGGTAGGTTGTCGATCTGGGTCGCCAGCAGAAAATATTGCCAATAATTCTTCCAACACCTATTTATAAGCAGAAATACAAAATATATCATTTTTTAGTTACCGAGAATATTTATAATATTTAATTTTGGAATTCATAAAACTGAATACGAATTAAAGTTTACTTTATTTTGTACATCCTGATGATGAGCCAACATAAATATTGCACATGCATTCGTAAAAGCTGTCGTGTCTTGACCCGCTAAAATCAAATTTTAAAAGACAGAATTTAAAAAATACAGCCCTTGTTTTTTTGGAATTATTTAATGATATTGGCGTTATAATGCTTTTATATGTCACAGGTACATATTGTTTAATTATTTTGTTGTCAATTTTGTTTTGAAACTTAATTTTGAATTGAATTTATGGCAATGGACCAAATTAACAATCGTGTTCTCTATTCTCGAACAACAACATAAAAGAATAATTGAGTTAACTACCGTTAATTAATGTTAAAATGCATATTTACATATAGTCATTCAACAAATTGTTTCGACCGATTATTATCAAATTTTATCTTGACCATTTAATCAATTTGACTAATCATAGAATTTATGTTAGTTAAAAAATATTTTTAAAAAAACACTTTAACCTTGTTATAAGTATATGAAAGTACAAACTGAGTCTTAACATTTTCAAAGACCAACTCTAATGCCACCAATTCTATCCCAAAAAAATTGTTTAAAACAAAAATGTGTACCAAATATAACAGTTATTATTTCATCCCGTAGTTGCTTAAATGTCATCTGATGTCCATTTTCGAGCAGTATCTCAATAAACGATTTAGATTTAAGGTCAATACACTCTTCGTCATGTTCTCCTTGGTTGTGTGTATTATTGTTTATCCATTCTGTATTTAATCTCTCGGCTAAATCTTCGATAAAATTGTAGATTTTACTTTGACTAATGTCATGTTTGCGTTTAAACGTCGACAACTGAAACAGACTGTTATTCAGAAACCACGGGTGTGTTACACGGTATTCACAAATCTAAAAAACACAATGTTTATTACAAAGAGCTGTCATGTCGGCTCAAAATATCGTCGGTAAAGTACTTTTAAGTTATTAAGTATACCTAGTAATATTGATAATTGCGGATACCTTTTGGATGACATGTAAATTCTCCGCAAATACGTGTTTGGCGTTTTTTTGTGCATTAAATTTTACACCCAAAGCGGTTCTTCCGATCATCTCCATAGTCGCCATATCTATTGCACAGCTTATTTCACAATCATTTGATTTGATTTCCCTTTTCTCGTACAATTCACCTGTTCTTTTTCCATTAATGAAACATCCTGTTTGAAAATATTCCATTGCCTATAATTGATTCGTTTAACACATTATATTCTTTAGATTTGTTAAACAGATTAGGGTTGGTAAGAACTGCTTCTACAACTTCAGGTTTTTTCGAAAATATGTACAAGCGATTAAAAACCCAAGCTTTGAATAAAGTGTTCTCGTAACTGTATTACAAAGACAACGAACAAATTACTGTTGCTCTTAAATGACTAGAAAATTAGAATTAAAAAATAATAATAATATGTAACAGATAGACGTGAATATATGTAATTACTCTCTGGAAATGTTTAGAATATTCATCAATAATTTTTCAGGTCCTTCAAGTAAAACGGGTAACATTCCCACTAAAAATAATCCATCTGGACCTGGTATTCGATTTGCCAATGCTATGTTTCTACGGTTTACTATTTTACAATACACAACTACTAAAAATAATATCACAGCTGTAAGTATAACAATAATGTTATTTAGACTTGTATCATTTATTGTGCCGAGCACCTGAAAATATTGAGTCCATAAATTATTATTTTTATTTATCATGGTGTTAGTTTTGTTTAATATAATTTAGTGCTATAACTAAAATCGATTTAGGAATAATAAGGTGAACATTTCGAGTGTTCGATTGGGCACATTCGTAATAATATGTAAAAATGATTTAATGATCATAAAAAACGATTTTTTTTTTTAGTGATATAATACATAGGCATAATCTGGAGGGGCGAGGGGAATAAGTTTAGGTTAGGTTAAGTTGTAGAAGATAGTATAATTGTAGTGCAATCGTTTAACCAATACAAACTATTTTAAAAATATAAGTTGATTTTTTTTTTACTTAAATCCCTAGTCATAATAATTGAAATGTTGAGTTATTAATTTTTTACCTGCTGAGACGAAACCATTTCAATTAATTGAATTAAAAACTTGAAATTCTCTTTGCAGTTATACACAAGGACTAAATCGGTTTTTTGATCATTCTTTACATTTATACTCTTATGCCATACACACTCCTACAAGTATTCAGCACAAACATAATAATAATAATAATACATTTCGAATAGGTGTTATTTATACTTACGTCCACATACATTAACTCATATTTGAATTAAAATATGCATAATATTAACGTGTTAATGTAATTAGGTGCTATTTGTTACTATTGAATATTCAACAATGTCAACAAAAAAGCCAGCATAATTGGGTCGAGGTCTATTTAGGGATACAAATAATTGTACCTAAAGACAATGCCGTAGTTAAAATTGTATTATTCGACTAAGTGTGCCCGATAATCTTCATTTATTATTTATTGTGTTAGTCCAGATAAACTTTATTTAAATGTCGATTAGTAATGATTCATTTTTAGTTTATATTAATTAGCGAATTAAAATTAATATTTGCTACTATCTTCTTCTTCTTCTATCGAAGGTTGGAAATTATCATGGCTATATGGTATTTGTCCTTGGCTGCACTGAACAGTGCCTTAGTGTTGTATTGTAACCACTCTCTTAGATTTTGCAGCCAGCTCGTTCTAGGTCTTCTCCTGCTCCTCTTCCTGCAAATTTTTCCTTGTATTATGAAATACAAGAGCTGATATTTTTAATCCCTCTGGTTCTGTGCCTATAATTCTTAAAACATAAAATGGATTGGTCGAGCAAGTGAATAACGACAAGAACTGTGACAAGGTCAGGACCACAACAGCTGTGTAGCTAAAGTTCTTCAATGAATTCTTAGAGCGAACAAGAAACTGCAGAAAACGAGTTAGTAGAGAATGCCGGGAAAAGATTGATAACAGAGACGAGTTGAGTGAAATATAAGTTTGTATAAAATTGTAAAAATGGACATAAACATTAAGTGTAGACTTTAATTGTCGTTTGTTTTCAGGTAAGAGTTTTTACATAGTAAAAAATAATAAAATAAATAATTTGTTTTCAGAGCAACACAGTTTGTTTATCTTTTTGACAATTTTCCTTTATAAAATTGAATATAGTATAACGACCCATTATAAATATAATTATAAACAAATAAGGAATATATATTTTTTATCTGTTAATTTCTTTGAACAATATATCTTGTAAAAAAAAATAATATACAACATTACATTGGGACTACTGTGCTACGTTATTTTTTTGCCAGCAGCTGTGATTCTTTGCAGTATTTGGCGACACAATTGCAACTATTTGAAAACATCGCCGTTGTGTGTTCACAATCGTCGTTCTTGCACATTGATCGGCCACGACAACAGTAAGGATAAATAATCAAGATCGTCGCCACCAGAAGTAGAGGAAGGTAGCTTATCCACGTGCTTGTTCGGCTGGTGTCACATTCGTCGGGCTTTCCATCGCAACTGTAACACATGGACATGAAGAAGTACTTAAAAACAAAAAAATACAAAAGAAACTTTTCGAAAAACGTCTAAGCACGTGACAATGGTTTTTTTTTAAATTTAAATGAGTGCAAACCCACGTCATGACCAAGAAACGAGATGGTCTCAAAATGATCAATCCAGTGTTATCCATACATCTAACTTAGTTAGAATAAAATATACTGATCGCCGGTCCCTTATAACCTCGCTTATCACTAATCCTTTATCAGCAGCCCCTTATCAGTGATAACAGACATGAGCGTTACCAGCCAAGGTGGATTAATCCATCTTAAAATCACACACCACCACCACCTAACCTAAACACGTCAGGCAATGTCGATTGTTGGAACCACTGGCTGGTTTTATTTTAGTGAAACGATATCTGATTCTGATATATATTACACATGACATATTATAAATTTAACGATATGATTTCATCGTTAAATAGTCAAAAAAGAGATGCAATTTTTTCCTGACCATTGTGAGGACTGTCAACTTCACCTAAGACATTGACGACGACATTGCCTATTTGTCAACATTGTCGGTAATATATATATATATATATAAATCAAGAACTCGTGTTTCATACTTGTCTTGGTTTCGGCAACTATCATAATAGTCCAATGCCTCTGTGGAGACTTGTGAGCAGCTGATCTTGCAGTGATCGTCACAGCGATGAGGTTTTCTGGTGGTGGCACGACCGGTTGACAGTATTTTGTTCATGAGTTTTTTGGACAACGAATTATCAGTTGTCGCTGGTGGAGAAGAATGTTCTTTTTGCAGAGGTAAAGCGGTGCTCTGTACAGGTACTTCTGGCATGAGAGTTGTAATTACTTCTGGTAACAGACTGCTTGTGGTATCCGATTCGTCGTGGGATTGTTCAGCAGCACTAAGGTGGTAACCCACAGGCCGCGCTGATATGAAACAAATCATCAATTGCAGCTGTACTAGAAAGGCACACAGAAATCGCCAAGGCGGCATTTTGTATAGTTTGCCAGTACAATGGCATGTACACTTGGATGCAAATGTTTCGAAAATGATAATAACAATCATTTCCCGCGACAAGTTTGATTGCAAAACCGTTACTATAGCGCAGCACAGTTATTCTTCGACCAGCGACAAAAAAAATATAAATTGAAAATGGATAACTATTGACTATGTCAATACGTTTTTATAGACAGACGATCAACCCTAGTCGTATCCATCCTAATATTAAAAATACGATTTTAATCACATGTCACTGTACTCGTTCGGTAAATACCTAACCTAACCTAACCTAACCTAACAAAAACTTGGTATAACCAAGATAACCATAAATTTAGTCTATTCTGTGGTATCGCAAAGCTAAACCTAACCTAACCTAACCTATTCAACAGTTGTTCATTTTATGTTTCAATAACCATAACAAGTAATTCTACAAATTGAATGTATATGGTACATAGAGGTTAGGTTAATGGTGACTGTTTCAACAATTTTCAACATTAAAGTCTAAGAAGAATACCTAGGCTTTTTTTTAGGAATTAAAAAATTTGTTTATAATTATAGTAATTTCCTCAGAGAGAACAATATTCGCATGTCTAATTATTGGGTTTTGCCTCTTGGATTAACCATTCGTATGAATGTGTAGGTTAGATGTTAATGATTAACTTATCCATGGACTAAAAGACCAAAGTAGATAGATAGATAATTAACTTTTAGGTTCCTTGAACGCTTTAGCATTAATGACCATAGAGAGATCTCTACTAAACGAAATAAATACAGATGATATTATTGTAGAGTTCCAAAAAGAGAAGAGAAAATAATATAATTAGGTTAGTTTTAAAATATTATATTTTTATTTTGTCATTTAAATAACAATATTGTATATTTGTATGTAACGAAAATTGACTAATTTTTAAGATTTGATCATACGAAAGCGATATGACTTCTTCGTTGATGTCAAACGTCTAAAAATTGAGTAAAAATTACAGCTGGGTTTGAACAAGCAAGAATTAATTAGTAAAAAATCGTATTGCCTTCTTGATTTTTAAAAAATCAAGTAAGTATGGTAATTAAATTGAAAAAAATGGAGACTGTAACATTAAGAGCTTGCTGTGAATAGGAATAAAAAAACAAAATGCTACACACAAAAAATGAGATGATTTATATTTAAATTACCCAAAACGACCAATTAATAATGCTGGCCAATAATAATACAAGCTTACTTAGCAAAGATTCTCGTTTCACAGGTAACAACATAACAACAACTGTTTTTTGTGCATTTACTCTTGTTTAATATTTTAAAAGTCATAAATCATAAATCGATGCGATAAGTTTTGACCGACAAGTTCAGGGTTAATGACAGGTCAATGGAAGACGAGCAATGGACATATCAGTTCTCTCTCCAACCAACCAATGGAAGTCGAGGAATACACGATTTGACGTTAATATAAATTTCGCTTCATTGTCTATTTTAATGATCAATGTGTAACATGTATATGCTTTATTTTATTAAAATTATGTACAGATGTATAATTTAAATATAATATATGACATCTAAAACTTGCCTAGCTGTAATGAGTTGTCTTTATGGATCGGATCAATGTAATTTTTATTAATAAATATTCAAACGAATAAAATCACTTTCAAGTAAACGCTTTGATTCAATGCTTATTTGTATATTTATATTTATACAGATACAGTAAGGTGCAAAAGTGAGTTAACAGTATGGGTTCTTTTTATTTTTATGCCCGTCAAACAAAAAATGTGTATTTAATAAAAAAATGTAAATTTAGAAATTAAATTAATTAACAATTAAATGAATATAAATAAAACATATATTTTTGCAGGAGATATCATTCATATTATAATAATTTGTTCAGTTTTGCTCCATATTTTTGAAAAATGTTTACCTTTTTCACCGCCCAGATAAACGTGAATAATATACTTAATTTTTTTATTATTGCTATTTAAACATAATAACTGGGCTAAATTCCAGAATGTGGTGTCTGAGGCGTAGCTGCTGCAGTTATTTTGGTACCTCAATATATAGGCCACCAGTATAATGTTCAAAAGCGATGCATTACCTACCGTACTTTTAAATGGAATGTTTATATTAAATCTAGTATATATAGAAGGGGAGTCGATATTTGAGAACTTACATCTGCAATTCTTCACCAAAAATTGGATTTTAATTTTCACCAACATATTTGTTTGTACACGGAGAAGACTTACACACATTTAAGATTTATACAGCAATAAAATATCTTCTAGGTATTACGCATCGAAGCTAAAATTAGTACAGAGCATTAGGCTTGTTGATTACTAAACTGCAACTATAAAAATTAAAATACAAGTAGAACACTTGAGACTATTTAAAGCCCTTATCGAGAAGTATGCCAATTTTTTTAAACTAAATTTTACTGCGTTTAACGATACAGTTTACTTAAAGTGAATTCCATGCATTACACATCTTCGGTTTAAATAATTAACAAAATTGTATTATGTTTTTATTTTGTACCGTGTATTATTTATTACAAGTAAAATATGATAATATGATATAGCTGCGTGAATAAATAAACAATAATTAAACAATAATAATATTATAACATTACTTTTTCAAATTTAAATTGACACATCGTAATCGGATACATAACACAAATTGTTAAAAATTATATAATAAATAATAATATATACTTTTGATTATCATTCATATATTATATATGTAATAATTATTAACCAACAATAAAATATATAGGAGTTTAAAAAAATTAAATAATTTAATCAGAGTTAAAAACGCGTGCACCGTGTTACCATTAGAATATAATATTATCGTTATATTGATTTGTTATAAAAAAAATAGTATATTAAATTATAAAAACACAAAGTTATTACTATTAAATATATATTAAGTAGGTTCATGCTTAAAATTTAACGTTAAAATGATGATCAAATCAACAAATTGTACAAATCCAATAATAAACCGTGACAACAATCGGCGATAAACTTAATTGCATGAAATAACCTTTCGGTTTCTAAAATATATGAATTTCTTTAATTCCATAGATATAATTATACTATAATTTCATGAAACAACTTTTTATTTGTGTGAATAAAAATGAATATTAAATAATACTCAATTTCTTTGGTTTGAATAAAATCGGTGGAAAAACTGGTCGAAAACAAAATTACATTTCAGCGATCTTTTAAAATGACTAGTAAAGAGTAATAACATAATATACCTTAAAAAATTAAAATATTTATAACCATAATCAATTGTATGAAACGTTAAGTAACAGCGAACATTTGCACTAAAAGTATTGAATTTTAAGTACTTATTTCATGACATTTGCAAGTTCACATTGTGTGATTAGTATTTATCGAATTGAAATAATATAGTCCGGTAAATACTAGACACATAAATACTAAGCAAATTGAAGTAAGTAATATTTAAGTCCGTCAACGTTTAAATCTTAAGCAGTAATTTGTGGTTCGATATACAACGATCGTTATCATAAATATTAAATAATTCTATTACAATATAATAACAAGTTATAAAATATTTAAAAAAAAAAAAACATAATTCGATTCAATGTGTAAAAATATGGTGTTAGCTTGTTAAATAGGTAACTATTACTCTTAATGATTGTGTACATAATTGTTTTGACAATTAAGTGCGAATGATCGAAACAGAGCAAGTATTTTTATTTATTTAGAAACCTATTCACCTCATGGTGGCAGCGTTGGATCTTCAAGACCCGTTAAGCTCACACGATGACGATGAAGATTTCTACTTATTTTCATATTAAATTTATACCATAATTAGTACTAAAATTTACGTGATCAAAACATTGAAAAATATTAATTATTGTGATGCTTCAACAATAATGAATTAAATATAAATAATTATTAATATAAAAATTCAGTGTTGTTAGTGATGCGTTAAAAAAACTTTGGTGCATTATTTACGTAGAAGTACGTCAATTATTATTGACGACTACGTTTTGGTTTAGTACGTGGCTGTTGTCGATGTTTGTTTGTGCACAACGTTATTGCCCTGCGCTAATTCTCCGCGTTGTAAAGCCTGATACTTCAAAAGTGCGTCATATCCGTAAGCAAACATAGCGGCAAATCCAAAGAACTAAACAGATAATAATACAACAATTGTATCATTTAACATTAAATAGTCTATTCGATTTTGTATTAATAAAATACCGTTTTTACTTACCAAACTCAAGGTATAGCTAAAATTTAAACCCGTTTGTCCAGCAGCTACTGCAGCAGATATTATATACAATATTGGCCAACAGGCGTTAAAGATCATTTCCTAAAATTTCAAAATAAATGTAACGTAACGTTTCTTTTGAATCGACAACACAACAAGATTGCGACTTACGATTTTCAGCCATGGTATTTTATAGAAGCTTTCGACCACATGGAACAAGTAGAATACCAACATGAACAACGAAAACCAGAAACCAAACATGGATATTGACGTCACAGCACTATTTTGGTACCACATGTTGTAAGTGGAAAATGAAATGGCTATAAGACTGAGAATTACACAAGCCTAAAAAAAAAAAACATTAAGTAATAAATACTTTAATTGTAAATAAAAATGTTCATCATCAAGCCAAATTACATCAATGTTACACTTACGATTTGGGCAATTTTCAATTTTCCCTCAAGCGTGTATAAGTACGTATTATCATATCTAAGATTTGTAATAACTTCCGTATTTGTAACCGTTGTAGTGGTTGTGTGTTGATTTGGAAAACCTGGATCGGCCATTCTGTCGATTCGTACTAAACATAAATGTTAAAATTAAGAAATACACAAGAAGAATCATAAACAATTAAAATAGTATAAATATTATTTTTCAAAATCAATCAAAAATGTGTTGTACATTTTTTGGTTTTTTGATAAAAGAATAAAGTACAAAATTTGACTTAGTTTTTTTTAAATATACAATACTATTTCCAGATCATAAATATAAAAATTAAGTCTTAAAGAAAATCAAAGGAAAGCTCATTATAAAGTAAAGAATTATTATTTCCACATTGTCCAACTAAAGTTTAATACATTTATATTCAAAGAATACCTCAAAACAAATAATTGACTTATTTAAATATATATCTGAAAGTTAGTATGCTTTTTTTTTTAATTGAAAATAATATACATTTAAAGTGTGTTTTTTTTTGTTTTTAATTTTGAATTGGAAGGTGTGTACTTATTTAACTTATAGTCGTCAGTATTTTTTACCTAAGGTATTCGATGGCAAGTATATATTTGTAGAAACAAGAATTTGTTTGTTCTACATGAAATATTCATCAAACAATACTGTTTAATGTTGTTAGCATACAAATTGTATAAAATAATTTAAAAAATAATATTTTATTATTTTAAACGAATGTAAAACAATATTTTTATTTAAAGGAAATGTTGATTAAATCTTTAAAAGAGCATAATAAAAATAAATATAAATTGAAAACACCTGTACGTTATAATAAAATATAATATTCTGTTATTTAATAAATACATAAAGTGTATGGCTCATTCATAAAAATCTGCTTTAGAGTTTAAGTACGATTCAATAAGTACTAATTAGTGAAATCTTGTAACAAATTTGGTGTATTTAAAATAACAAATAGAAAATACATCTCCGATGACTATTAAAAATGTATTATGTAAAATAGTTAGGTTACACTATTTAAACATGAAATAGAAAATAATTGTTGAAATAGTTGTACCACCTTATCAATGGATATAAATTACAATTATTGGTAAAATAAAATTATAAGTAAAAAAAACTAAATAATTAACGTTACTTTTATTAAAAAATTGTTTAGTTAGTTTTAAAAGGTCGTATGCACCCGAATTTCTGACGTACAAAACTGACTACGCAGAATGTTTAATAATTGCTCCACGGTGGATTTAAAGCAAAAACGCCTACCAATAAATCAAAATTTCTAGTATACATAAGTATTAAAAATATCAAAAACTAGCTTTGATTTGTGTGTATAAGATACAAAATAGATATAAAAAAAAAACATTTTATACCTTATTAAATACTTAATTAAAATTTGTCCATTACTGGTCATTAGGTACCATCAATTACTCATCTGCGCTCCCAACATATTTTGTTACCAAATATGGCAAAACGCGATAACGTAATAATTTGCTACTTACTTATACTTGCTTAGATTTTTGTTATAATTCCGAAAACAACAATACGACGTTGAACGTAAAAAGAGGCAACAAGTGAACTTTTAAACACTACAAAAAAAACACTTTTATCACTGGATTGCAGTTAAGACCCTATGTATTATAATATTATTACACGAACACGTCTGGACGGTGTACACAGCTATAATATTAATATAATATACTGTTGGTTTTTTTTTTTTCTATACGTTTGTTGTTGCCACTATCAATATTATTTCGATTTTCCACCGACGAGCTGGATCACTATCAAAACAGTATGATAGCTTGGTTTTTTTTTTTTGCTTAAGTACATACTGGGCAATGGCCTTTGTCGCCTGGTTATTGGTCAGTCGACACAGTAGCAACTATAGCAACAGTATAATATTATTATTGTGTAATCTCAAGAGTGGGTGTACAACAAAACAGCTCCCTTCCACCACAACAAGGCAATACAGTTTTACATAGTAACTAAAATACAAAACAGCAACAGCTGCCTGCTGCACTATCTAGTGTCTACAATCTATACAGTACACATCTTGGCGGCGTATACACTGTAATAACAGCTAATACACTACTCAAAATTCAAAACATACAGTACACCTATTTAATTAACGCATAACTAAACCACGACAGTACCAGCACAATCACTGTGTAATATAATAATTAGCAGCTGTGCCTGAGACTTCCAAATTAAAGGGGCCTCAGTTCGATTACACACACTCTTTTATACGAATATAATCTATATATTTTACTTATCTCTGAAAACTGTGGCGCTTCATTTGTAGGTGTACACAATTTTCAATGAAAATTACACATTGGTTTTTGTATTAGTAAGAGCAAACACAAATGAGTGAGCAATGTTGCTCATCGGTTATTGTTTTTAATGACTAACAAAAAGTATAGTATTTATTCTTTATCTGAAAAAAATATTTTATTTTAATGTAGGTAGGCATTAGGTTCTAGCTTTCCTACCGAATGTCTATACACATATTATGTTGTATTTAATTTTAGTATAAAAATGAATGTGTTTACCACGAGTTTAGAATAATTGTAATTTTTGTATACGTACTAGTACAGTTTTGTGGTAGAATTGCAAAAGTTGATATTATATCACTTTGCCTAACTTTTGAGAAAATACAAGTTACTTCACACTTAAGTTCTAAAATGATTTAGTTAATTCTATAAATATTAAAATATATTTCATTACGATACCAGCAATTATATTTTGTAGTATGCTTAAAGTGTCGCATGTGCCGCGTGAAAGCCTGACAAATTTTTATAATAGTAGTTCCGTTGTACCGACACAAAACATAACAACCACTGGACTGTAATTGTTTCTAAGGAATAACAAATTTAACAAATTTCTTCATTTGGTCGTATTTGGTCACACTTTACTGTCCTCTCGTTTATTTAAGCTGTCTTTAACGATTCTTCGCTTTGCACACAACACATCGGTCCAACCATTTGTGACTTTAACCATAAATTCTATAACTGATCTATTTCATAAAATTCTATTTCCATGTCTTTAAACATCCCCTTGAACATTCAATCAATACTCTTTTTCAAAATTGTCCTGATAATATTACATTAACGTTGAGACTAATTGTATCGACAAAAACAAAAAATGAACTAAAGTTAATCGAAAAAGAAAACAAATCAAGTTAAATATTATTAAATAAGGGTCATTTGCTAAAACTGAAATTATTATTTAGCACAATAAACATTCTATTAAAAAACAAGAAGAGCAAATCAGTTAGATATCTGAAATTTATATTACATAAATATTTGGAATGTGTTCAAATTGCAATATTTAAAAAACCGTATATTACATTGACTTACATTAGTTTTATATTAAATACATAATATTTAACATGATCAAAAATAAACATACATCATATTGCTTAGATACTGTCGGTTGTATTTTCATAGCTCAGATGATGTTATTTGTCGCATAATAGTCGAATAGAACACTTCAATTTTTTTAACGTATTGAATGTCCGATGTTTTAAACTGCAAACACTGGAAAAAAATTGAGAAAAAAATGTAGTAAATAAACAAAAATAAATATTGAGCTTTTATTATTTTGAATCTAAATTTTTTATGTGTAAAAAAAATCTAAACACAAGCAGTCTAAATAAACACAGCCTCAACTCTGTTAAGTTAGAGAGCAAGCACAGTTTAAGACACAAATCATTTTGTGATTTAGTTATTAGTTAAAATTTATTAGAAAACTTATAATCAAGTAAAAATACAAATGCGCATATGCACACAAATTAAAATAATAATAAATAAAAATCAGCCTTTTAATATTCAACACTTAACAGGAGATGTTAAGACATCAATTAAAACATATTTTGTTTTTTTAAATGTGTTTAGTACGCATATTGGGAAGTGACTTTGCATTTTAACCTCAATTTTTATGAAATTTGACTCTTTGTATATTTCTTATGATGTTAAACGAGTTTAATTAATACATACTATAATGTTAGGGCAATGTTACATAATTGAGGCAAAATAAGACCCTCGTTTTTTTAGTAACAATTACTTTATTATCCATTTAAAATAAGTAGTTTTCATATGACAAAGTTGTATATTACCGTAATATCGTCTGTTACTTTAAGCGATACAGTCGATTCTTTGTGACCATACTTCATAGTGCATCTAACCTAAAATATTAAAATGTATCGATTAACTTCCTTAATATACTAATGTAAAAGTAAATTGTACACAGTTGTAAGCTTAAATAAATTAAACGATATGTGATAACAAAACAATTAATAATAATGTGTGTGAAAAAGTAAACGTATTTACAGTAATACATTCTCTACTGAGTGATCAAATTAAACATAAGACATTAATTTTCTTTGAAATCACTGGCAATTTCGTAGTATATATTTTCAAATAAATGTTAGTATTTAAATGTTAGATTTGACTACCTTGTATATATAAATAGATTTATTTAAGCAATTTCAGGTCTAATATATTAAACTTGAATTATTTAAAATTACCCTTGTCGGATCTCTGAGAATTAAGTTGTACGATGCACTCTCAAATTCCTTCCACGTCTTAAGATACATCTTTTAACAGATGAATTCTACTTTAAACTTTAACTATCACTGGGGATTAATCAAAAATAATAATATGCCTATAAAACTTGGGTTTTATGACGATTTAATAAATAAATAGAAAAAGTCAGTTTAAACACAATAATAAATAACAACTATAGTTTGTTATTGTTAATCCCGAATCCGTTAATTTATATGTAAAAATGTAAGTCACGTCACTCCACACAACAATTATTTAGAAGACATGTCGGCTATCACCTTTTAGGCTGATGATTGATAACAGAACCGACAACCAGATAACTGATAACAGCACTTATCACAACCTCCAAATAAACATACAATAATATTGTCACTATAGTCATGACCTAACTGACTGTAAAAATTGTTTTTCAAAATATTTTAACAATAAATTATAATAAATGTGAATTTATTAACAAAGTACTAAGAATTAATATTAATGAATAAAACAATTTAAATACAATAATTCTGTTGTTAAATTTTATTATTACGTAGGTTTTATATTAAAAAAAATTATAATATTACTCTATAAAGTAATAATAATTATTAACATTATAGTACATGCTAACTATTTTGCATACATTTCTTGATCTCTTTATCGTAATAAATAAGCCCTTTTTTCATTGATTAATAAACATTACAATCTCGATTTTATTCAGCGATCAAAAAATGGTTACCAAGCTAAAATTTATATTGTTATAACTACAACAAATGCTGTTATAGACTATTATTATTATTATGATATTCTGAGAGCTTAACTCAGTTTGAACTTGTAGAAAAAAGAAAACACAACTAACGTTTTAATGTTATACCTTTTAAAACAATGTTTTAAAGAAGAAGAAGAATGGAAGTAATAGTAAATTTGTATTAATCATTCAGGCCAGCTTTTTTTCACAGTGTTAGTGTCAAATGTTTTTAGACAAATGCAACTGTTATTGCTTAGTGCTTAAGTATTGATGATGATTCTAAAAACAAACAACAAGAAAAAATATTACTAATAATTCTCAATTATATTATTACTACTAATAATCATACATTTGAAGGTGTGCAAATAATTATGGTTAACCCTTCTGCTGTGCTAAATACGTTGCTGACCAGGTGTTCCATATCTGGTCAATGCAGCCGATTCTCGGCAAGGCCAAATACTATATGCCCAGGTCAACAACTAAATATTTCTAAAAGCTCCTTCCATTGCCTCTAGTGTTGGCTTTTGGAAGCTTCTGGCTTTAGTTACTAGGTAGAAGATGTGTTGGCCAGTAACTAAACGTTGGTCCAACAAAGAACGACACACCCATATCTTCTTCTGTAAAATATTTAAAATAAACAAACCAATTTAATTTTAATAGGATTTAAAATCGTATACACATAATTTTAATAAATTAGACATAATTTGTAAGGCCTATCTGTAAGGTCTACCTGTTATCATCCTATGACAGAATCAATTTAACTTACGACACACATTTAATATGTTTTAGGATATAATATGTTTAATATGGTAGTTTACAAAAATATTAAATAATAGTTTTTCCCAGAGCTTTAAAGTTTTATTTATTTACGTTTTAAAAGCCGATAAAAGCTCTAGAGAATATTAAAAAGACTTAAATATTTAGTAGCTTAATGTTATTGTAGAAAAACATATACAATTTTTCAAAAGAAAATCAACAATATTACAAAAAAAAGGTACAAAAAATGATCTAATTAAATAAAAACTAAATGCCACAGCCACTGCCAAAAGAAAATCCATTGTCTCATTTACCACTATTGTCGGGACAAAATGCGTTTTGTATTATCTTTGTAGGTAATTGTGCGATTTTATTGTTTGATGCACGAAAAGGTAAATCATTTTTCCATGAACATTATACCATAAAAAAACAATTTTTTTATAAAAAGTGGAGATACCTGGTTCTTGCTCTGGACCCATAAATTTTTCGGGATGGCCAAATGTCGAAAATTAGTCAACTTCAAAAAGATTTAATTATCCATCGCATTGTAATATGATCTCTTCAGCCCGGAAAAGTCCCCCAAAAAAAGCTGCCGGTAAAAGACACGGGTGAGAAAAATGTTCAATAATTACACATTTTTTAGGACAATTTTTATTAATTTAAATTGTCATAATTTCCCATCACTACATTCCAAACAGAAAATACCATTACTAATTTATAAAAAAAAAATTTGCTGTTGTTTACTCATAGAGATGATGAGATGATCAACGGGATTAACGTTAAACATGAATTTGATGAAATGAAAGATTATTGCTTTGAATCGTTGATACAAGTTGATAAAACGACGCCTATCAACATGCAAGTAACAAACAACTTGGTAGTCAAAAAATGTGAATTGTGTTTAGAATCGTTTACATCAGAAAAGCAATTGAAACATCACATCACTTCATCGCACAATGGTGTTTCTAAGATCGATGAAATTCCAATTAAAAAAAAGTCGATAATGGTTTCGAGTAAGTCAATTTTAAATCTCAAAATACCAAAATAGTCTTTTTCTAACAAATCAAACAAATAGCAACTTACACGTATAATTCTGTTCCTTAGAGGTCAGATAATAAACTCATTGATTTTACTACTACAAAATAAATCTTTATTAATACTTACATAACACAAAATGTATAACTAATGACAAATAGACTAACACATACCTACAAAATAAAATCAATTTCTTATAGCGTATTATCTAATATTGAAGGTATAAAAATTACACAAAAGTCTACAAATAATAACATAGTTTTCATAAATTGTAATGCATAATATATATATATATATATACAGGGTGTTCCAGCATGAAAGGTAAGTAATAGGTGATTGAACATCTGGGGGACCCTTAAATAAGCCCTCCAATTTTATTTTTTCGATAAGTAAAAAATTGAAGATTTCGAAAGATAAGTAAAAAAATAATGACTTAAAAATAAAAAAAATTATTCTCTGTTATTCAGTGCAAAAAGCTCACCTTAAAAGAGGGGTCACATCATTTTTAGTCTTTTTCAGCCCCTAACTCTTTTCTTATCACGCATCTTATCATTTTTTTCTTACCTCTAGTCTCTAATCATTTATCTCTTATCACTAATATCTTATTATTTATTTCTTATCTCTTGTTTCTTATTATTTATCTCTAATCTCTTATCATTTAGCACGTACCTCTTACCATTTATCTCTAATCTCTCATAATTTATCTCTTACCAATTATCTCTTTTCTTTTATCTCATATCAATTATGTCTTAGCATTTATCTTTTATCACTTATTATTTATTTTTGGTCTCTAATCATTTTTCTCTTATCATTTTTTGAGTTAGGGGCCGAAAGGGACTGAAAATGATGTGACCCCTCTTTTAAGGTGAGCTTTTTGCACTGAATAACAGGGAATAATTTTTTTTATTTTTAAGTCATTATTTTTTTTAAATAAAATAAAAACGGAGGGCTTATTTGGGGGTCCCCCAGATGTTCAATCACCTATTACTTACCTTTCATGCTGGAACACCCTGTATAACTATATGCATTAAGAATTTAAAAAAAAGAAAACTTAAATTAATTCTAGGCAATAATAAAGTGTTGACTGTTGAATGTAATTATAAGTGTAAATTCACGAGGTAGTGCAAGAAATACCTGAAAAGGAGGACATTGTGACCGGTGGTGATATGAATGAACATTTAAGGAGTGATTGGACTGGCTATGAAAGAGTACACGGAGGTTATGATTTTGGAGAGAGACACATTATATGGGAGAGAGTGTACTTGATTCTGCGCAGGCGTGTAAGTTGGAAGTTGTAAATACATTTTATAGGAACAGGGAAGAGCATTATATGACTTTCAAGAGTGGAGGAAATAGATCATGAAATTATTGTTTAAGGCGGAGAAGAGAGAGTGTAATGATTGTACAGTGTACATTCCAGGTCAGTCTCAGATTTCTGGTATGAAGGAAAGAGCTTATCAATAAAGTGCTAAAAATTAAGTGGTGGAAGTTAACGAGTATACTCACGGGTATCTTCTAAAATTATTCAGTTTTTGTTATTGTGTCCATTTAAAATATGAACGTTATATCTCTTTGTTTGTTTATTCATTTGAGTTAATTTTCTTTTACTTAATTTAAAAGTGTTACCTTTTCTCACGTCTCCTTTAAGATAATAACAACTAAGTGTCTTTAAACCGGATTAATAAATTAACAATAATGTTGGCCAACACAATTATTTATTGATTAAAGCTTAAAACCCGTTTAAGGGCAAAAAAGAACATTTCAAAGCTTTAATTAAAATACTTAAAAATAAAGTATTAAAAATGCCCATAAAAAATATATACCTACTTAATTTTGTTCGCTTTTATCTGGAAAGGACAATGTGAAGTTTTAGTTTGATAAATTATGGTGACACTTACTATTCAAACAATACCTAGTATTTAAACAATTTCAAGTGTTTTCTAATTTTTTTGACACAAATATTAAATATATTAAGATAAGATAAGGTTCAGCACTTAAATTGTATTGTAATCGTACGAGACGCACAATATTTTTTCCACTATTGAAACACTTTTCTTTTTGTATTAATTATTATGAAGCTAACATAAGTATTTATTTATTTTTGTCACTTAAATAAATGAAATTAGTGTTTAATATTTAATGTGAATAATATCTAGTCGATAATGTTTTTCAGAAAAAAGAAAATATCATCAAACTTGCAACAAAAATATAACGGTAAAAATATTTTATCTGCCCTAGATTATTAAAATGTCACTTTTAAAACAATTTCTGTGATTTACATTTAATAACAGTGATTAAGTAGATTTTTTGGTGTCATATACCTTTAATACAATAATATTTTCTTTTCCTATGTATTGTATTGTATTTTTTGTTTTTGTGTATAATAATTAAAAGAATGACTGAGCCAACCGAATTAACATAATATATATATATATGATTTAAAAATTATAATTACAAGTTCACTGTTGAGATATCAATAAATTAAATAATATGACATAAAATATAAGAGTAATGCATTTTGTATAAGATAATTAAGTTGTTTAAAAGAAAATTTAAGATCCTAACGTCCTAACCTAAGTAAAATACCTGTTGTATATAAATAATTTCAGATTATTACACAACAGATATCAACGGAGTAAAAAACTGCAGAGTTATTCGTTTTAACGATAAAGAACAACCCAAAGATAATAATTCAAACCGTATTATTACTGCCAAGTATGGAATATTAACGTTTGTTCCTTTAATATTTATGGAACAAATGCAGCAATTTTCTAATCGATTTTTTTTATTCATGTCTTTACTGCAGGTTAGTAATTTATAAATTATATATTATTTATTTAATAAGAGTACCTACGTTACTGTATGTGCATCTAAAGGGTTGTAGGTTAGTGCTCTGTCCAGTGACTAATCAATCTACCTATATGCAAACTCTAACCAAAGTTTTTTTTTACACATATAAATTACTCATCGTTTAATGTATAATGTACCTAATTGTTTGTGTATATTAGGAAACGAGATAATCTTTAGGCACAACCTATACAAGTAATTTAGTCGTTTAATTAAGGTGCTACCAAAAATTCGGTGACCACAGCAATGTAATATTTACAAAATATATGATTTCATATAGGAACAAATATTGGATAAACATACACACTATGATACAAATTAATTACACGCCAATAAAGGCTTTTTATTGATATAATAAATATTAAATGTGTTACTAATTTTAAGATTGGTTGAAAAGTTTTCACCATCTACCTATTCCCTTAGATTGATTTGTGCAGGTTGTACCTAAAGATTTTTATTTAAAAAAACATTACCAAATAACCCTAACGTATATAGGTTCTAAAAATTAGTATGTATTCATTGTAATTACTATTTCTTCGGTGCTTATTCAAAAAAAGGTTTAAGTCAATGCAAATTAATTTTTTTTTCAAGTTCAACGAGTTTGAAATTCCAATATTTGAAGTACTTTTATGATTTTAGTGTATTTGACTCATTCCGATTTGCTAAACAGTGACTTAAACTTTTTTTGTATTGACTTAAGTCCTTATTATTTTAAAATCAATCTGTCCGGATCAAAGTGAGTTGAAATTTCATTTTTGGAAAAAGCCTGACAACTGATCATTCAGACCAAGAGCCGAAGATTTGTTTTTAAAAAATACTCCATTTAATTTAATTAGTTAAACATATATATATATATATAAATATGTATAGAAATTATAATAAATACATGTCAAAAATATGTTTTAGCAATTTCCTGGCGTTTCTCCGTTGGGCCGTTATACAACAATAATACCCTTAAGCTTTATCATGACTTTGTCTGGAATTAAATCGATTTATGACGATAAGGTAGGAATTAAGAAAAAATTCTTGTAGTTTTAATTACCACCAGGCAATAATAATATAAGGTATTAACAATAAAAACGTGTTGAATAATATTATTACCTAATAATAGCCAACAGTTTTTTTTATCTTACGGCTTATACACTGTAAACAAAATTTCAAACCAATGTAATAATTAAATGCACTTGACTTCGCGCTAAACTTTTCAAGTTTATTAACTGATTATCGATTCTGTAATTTTGATGTTTAATGTTTACACAAGAAATTATATCCCCAAACAAATCTAATATGTTGCCAAAATTAAAAACGTATGTACCCCAAAACTTCTACTTAAAATTAAATAGGTATACTTACCATTAAATAGAAAAGATGCGCCGATGACAATGAAATAAACCATAGATGTGTAGAAGTATTGAGAAACGGTTTACTGGTTCGGGAAAAATGGGATGCGATAGGAGTTGGGGACATTTTAAAAATAAATAACGACTCCATATTCCCAGCAGATATGATACTGATTTCTTCCAGGTAAATGCAAAAAAAAAAAAAGCTAATAATAATTTGCCGTTTTATGCAACGGAAACGGAAAATAAGTGCCTATGATAATTTTAGTGAGCTCCACGGTATATGTTACATTGAAACAATGGATTTGGACGGCGAAACCAATTTCAAAACAAGACAAAGTCTCGACGAGACGGCACAGCGCAAAGAATTGAACGAATTAAGACGTTTCAACGGTGTGATCGAATGCGAACTCCCAAACAAACAGCTGTACGAATTCGTGGGAAGCATCAAGATACAATCGAATCAAGAGTGAGACACCTATAATAACTCTTAAAAAAAAAATATCTTGTAAAATTACCCATATTTAACCAACTAACCTAACCTAACCTAACTTTTTTTTTTTTGTATCTAAATTTTCTGCAAAACCAGAGAAGACAATGTTGTTCAAACCTAACCTAACCTTTTTGTTCCCTTCGCATGCACCCTTTGCGTTCCGGGGGAAAACTTGCCTGATGGGGGCCATTATTACTTTCCCCCAACCTAACCTAACCTAACCTCACCTAACCTAACCTAACCTAACCTAACCTAACCTAACCTAACCTAACCTAACCTAACCTAACCTAACCTATTAATTATAGTATTAGTACATTATCCATCATCTACATGTGTTGTAATCTAAGTCGTTTGAAGTGCTTTACCTCTAGGTCCCAAACAGTTGTTACTAAGAGGAGCTGTTTTGCGCAATGTAAAATGGATATACGGTGTAGTGATATATACAGGCCACGAAACGAAAACTATGCTCAACCAGATTAAAACAACTGTGAAACAATCGAAGGTGGACGCATTTTTGAATTGTCAAATGAAAATCATGTTTCAATGCATTTTCTTAGCATGTTTACTGTGCACTGTATGTTGCGCACTGTGGTCGAAAAAAATGAGTGGCCAACACTGGTACTTGAATCTCTCTGGTAATGATTATAGAACTTAGATTGAACGATTTTTTATTATAATATTTATCAATAGTGTAATTGTCAATTTATTTTTTTTATAAAAAAGGATTTTCATTTAGTGGATTTCTACTACAAATTGTAACATTTTTCATTCTCTTCCACAACGCGATTCCTATATCTTTACAAGTGTACGTTGAAAGTGTTCGCTGGATCGAGGTAATTTAAACATTGTTATTTTAATATAGATAAAAAGTGGTCGTTATTTGGGCAAATGTTGCAAAAATACTTTTGGTTTTTTTTTAGGCATGGTTTATTAACAATGACATTGATATGTACCACAAAGAAAGTAATACACCTGCTGTAGCTAAATCGCCAAATTTAAATGAAGAATTAGGACAGGTATACAATATCAAAGAACATATAAAAAAATTATTTAACAGTTGAAATATTTAAGTGTATGACTTAATATTTGTCACCTTTTCCATTGACACTAATTTCTAACAATCGGTTAAAACCCTAAAATAATTAAATTCAATCGTGTTTACAGGTTAAGTTTATTTTTTCTGATAAAACTGGCACTTTAACCAGGAATATAATGGAATTAAAACATTGTTCCATTGCCGGCGAACTTTATTTAGAAGGATCCCAAGACATTCTAAAAAAGGTAATCAGGTAATTATATTATTTCAATAATGAATAAACTTTTACAAGACTTGTAGTCGGATGATGTCCAACTTTGTCTACAACATAGAGATATCTTATTAGGTTTTATTAATTGTATTTAACAAATATACTGTGTTTTAATGGTAACTCGAAAATTGGGTAACATACATTTATTGTGTGTATAATTAATAAAAAATAACGGTTGTTCTCTCTTTGAGCTATTTTTCATTTCCCCCCGTATTGCATGTCTGTGCCAAAATCTGCCAATGCAGTATCTAACGGGTATTGGGATTACTAATAATTTATTGATACTGAAATTTCAGAACACAACAGGCCATTCGACCAGAGTGTATATTAGGGAATTTTTAAGAACATTAACGGTTTGTCACACTGCGATTCCCGAACAGACAGGAAACGACGGCACAATCGTGTATAAAGCTTCATCTCCCGGTAATCGAATAATAATTGACTGAGAAAATTGTATTATACTATACATAACCAATAACAGCTGTACTCTATTGGAATAGACGAGTTGGCGTTATTAAACGGGTCGCAGAAACTTGGTTTCGTGTTTCACACTCGATTGCCAAAGTCGGTTTCAATAGCAGCGTTGGGCGTGGACGAAAATTATGAAATTTTAAATATATTGGAATTTACCAGCGCCAGAAAGAGAATGTCGGTGATCGTCCGTACCCCTGACTCGAAAATAAGACTTTATTGCAAGGTCGGTGCTTAGAGAACTATTTATATAAATATATAACCGAGATCCGGTCAGTACACTTGGTCATCCCAAATTGTACCCATTGTTTTATTTTCCAGGGAGCCGACACTGCAATTTTTCAACGTTTGTCCAAAACGGGCAAAAAATATGCGAAACAAACGACGGTCCATTTGAATACATTCGCCAATGAAGGATTACGGACGTTATGTTATGCATATGTGGATGTATCCGAAAGTTTCTACGCGTCTTGGAAATCCAACTATCTGAAAGCGTCCACTGTCTTACAAAATCGAGACGCGGCCAAAGACAGAGTGGCGGGAGAAATTGAAAAAGACATGATATTAACGGGAGCTACGGCTATTGAAGATAAACTACAAAACAATGTTGGTGAAATTTTGTGTCTCAAAAATAATGGCGGGCTTTCACAAACGGCTGATTTTGTCTGTGGCTTTTTTTTTAAGGTACCCGAAACCATCCGAGCACTGCTAAACGCAAATATAAACATATGGATGCTGACCGGAGACAAACAAGAGACTGCCGTTAACATTGGAACGTCTACGAACTTAATAAAAAAAGGAACACCTTTGATAATTATAAATGAACCAGAATACACAGTAAGTGTCCCCACATATGTAGAACGAATATATTACCACTAAACGACGAGTGTGTCGTTAAAGTATATACCTATAATTAGCAATTAACCAATGCCGTTAGGACTGCAAGAAAACCATTTACAAACACATAAGACAGTTGGGCCGAGATATGGAAAACCCTAGTAATTCTCGTACGTTAGTCATCGACGGCCAATCGTTAAAACATGCTTTGTCGTATGACATAAAAAAGGATTTTCTCGAGTTATGCATTAGCTTCAAGACGTTGATTTGCTGTAGACTGACGCCGTTGCAAAAAGCCGAGGTGGGCATTTGAATTATTATAACAGCTAATTATGTGTGTGGTGTGTGTCTATTAATAGATAGTTGTGTATTCAACATATGTTTGGCAAATTAAAAACAATTTAAATAACTCTGTTGTCCTCGGCAGGTGGTCGAATTGGTAACTAAGCATACGAATGACGTTACTCTGGCCATAGGAGACGGCGCCAACGATGTACCTATGATAAAAAAAGCAAATATTGGTATAGGAATATCCGGTTTGGAAGGACTACAAGCAGCCTGCGCTGCTGATTACTCAATAGCTCAAGTGAATCGACTAAAGATAACTGGATAAAAATTACAATAACTAACCGCACGTATAATATGCATTTTCCAGTTTGAATATTTATCAAAGTTATTGTTCGTGCACGGAGCGTGGAATCACGATAGAGTTTCGAAAATGATTTATTACTGTTATTACAAAAACATATGTTTCTACATATTACAACTTTGGTTTGCAATGTATTCCGGATGGTCCGGTAAAATATTGTTTGACAGATGGATTATTTGCTCTTATAACGTGGTAAGTGCGGCGCACACCTGTATAATATCGTTAATAAATAATGGTAATTTTTTAAAAAAAAAAACTATATAGTGTTGATTTATTTCACGTTTCTTAGTTCTTTACAGCTGCACCGCCACTGGCGTTGGGCATATTCTCTACAAAGTGTTCAGCCAAAACCCGAATGAAGTACCCGGACATGTATTCACAGTCTGTCAGCAAATTAAACGCCAAAACATTTTGGACGTGGGTGTTCAACGGAATGGCCCATTCGTTTTTAATATTTTGGTCTTGCGTTTTTATGATGGGACATGAAACTGTTTGGATTAACGGGAAAATCGGCGATTATTCTGTACTGGGAAACACTGTGTACACGGTAGGTAGTGCAAGAAAAAAAAATTCACTTTGACAATTCCAACACTCTTTGTGTAGCAGACGATATTATAAATAACATAAACTACATTTTAGTGTGTTCTGGTAGTTGCATGCTTAAAGGCCGGACTTCACGTTCAGTCTTGGACTTACATTGTGCACTTGACTATATGGCCGTCAATTTTGTCTTGGTTCGTTTTTATAATAATTTACAGGCGAGTTGTGCATTGAAATTTGTCAATAATCACATTATACGTTATCCTAATATTTTAATTTTTATTCAACATAATATGTTTATATAGTCGGTTGGCACCAACGTTGTATCACTTTGGTGTAACTACACATTTGAATGATGCCATAATTCTGAGAGCACCCACGTTTTGGACCACTTTAGTATTTTTCACAGTTTTTCCTTTACTGTTCGATGCGACCGTCATCATGTGAGTATCTATTCGAGTGTATTCGTTAAAGACTTCATTTTTTTAGTACTTAGTTTGAAAACAACAGGTACAAAATTTGTATAATGCTTTCAGAATAACTCGTGTCGTTTATAAGTCAATCACTCAGAGTTTGGGAGAAACAGATGTAAAAATTCACAAGTTGAAAAAAAATAACACTCTGTGCTAGAACGCTGTAACAAGGCTTATTCTTGTGAAATATTAAAAAAAAAATACAATGCAAATTGAAAATAAACAAATATCCAGTCGTTATTGTTTTGTATTTTTCTCATTTAATAAGGCCTCGACTATTAGGTATAGTGGTGCCGTGACCTTCTCTCCCCTTAAGTAAGAATCAACACCCAAAAGAGTGTCATCAATAGGTGCTTCTCATTCTCATATATATATATAACTTATTGTACTAAACTTGTACAGGTTGTAAATTTCAATTGAAGGACAAAAAAAAACTTGGTACACAACTTCTAAATGTTTTCCGGAGTTGTTTTTGTGGTAATACAAATATGTAATGTTTTTAAGACAACATTTTTTAAATAAAACTTGTGTCATTTTATAAGCTACTATTATGATGGTTAAATTTAAAACTCTAAGTATTGCCAATCAAACATGAGACAAAATGTTTGCTTTCAATATCAAATACATATAGAAACAATTAAATGAGAATTGGTAATTCAATTTTCGTTTTTACCAAAGGCACATAATAATGGATGTGAATTAGACATTCTCAAAACAAGATATAATAATAAACATCAATATAGTTGAATCACAATCCAGAGTACAAAATAATGTTTTGATGCCATGCAGAGTCCATTGAATAAATAAACAAAAAATTATGTTCCTATATATTTTAACGATTTTTAAACATATTACATATAATCGTGCGACCTCATAAAAATCATTTAAACAAATTATGTATACATAATATATATATATATATATTATAACGATACTCAACAGATTACATTTTTGTGTGGCCTTATAAAAATAATTGTAACTAGAGACGCAAAACAATAATACATAAACATTGGTGTATTTAATGGTAATTTCTTCTAAAATCGAAATTAAAAACCAACGACAGTCGGATGTAATTACCTTGTCTGAAAATGAAAACACTTTTACATAAAATGTTTAATACAAATTTGTGGATGGCTTTGAAATTCCTTTGGGTGTTTTAGAGAAGTTAACATATTGTTTTTAACACAAGAGGGGGTTGGTGACCCCTGGTACTTAAAGTTTCATATTAAATTACAGGTTTTTTTTTTATATTACTCAAATAAATGGAAAGTAAAATGGACCTACCAATTTATAGGATCCCAGCAGCACAACTAAGCCCTGCACTATTTTTGCCATTGAATGAGAACCAAATAGTTTAGGTTAATCGGTTAATGCCGTTTATCAGATATACAACAAAAATACCATCTCTAGTTTTATCGTTAATAGACCATAAACATCAAATGTATAGGGTTATTTATTATGACAAAGAAAAAACGATAATGGTTTGCGTTCGGCTTTCGCAGTTGTGAAACGGCAAAAGTTTAAGGAATATTCGATAAATATAACAACGACACACTTGGAACAAACAAAATTACATAAATATATATTTGTATTATTTGTTTTAAATTTTGAAGAAAAAAAAAACTGGAATATGATGCGCCGTTAGATCATATGAAAACTATTAAGAGTAATTTTTGAATAACCGTTTTTTTAATTGTAACTGAATTTTTTTTTTTAACACTACAAACAGTAAAAAAAAAAAAATAGACTAAATTTAAAATATATGAATGGGAATTTTTTGTATGCATCAATTATGTGCACGAACGGTCTTTTACAAAAAAACAATGTGTCGTAGTCAAACCATAATTGCTATGTTTAAAAATTGTTGGTCTTGCACGCCTAATACAGGTCCAGGCCGATGACGTTTTCTCCAGTTCCACCGAAACCCCCGAGATTGTAGTCACCCATGCCGCTGCCACTGTCCTCCCTCGGCGTTCCAGGCGGCGCAGGAGAATTCTTCATGCCGTCAAGTCCATCGCCGTTCAAAACAGAATTCATTGTGTTCGGACCCATCGGTCCCAGCGGTCCATTGTCGGGAGCGTTGTTCATTGGAAAATCCTTAGAATACCCCAACAAATTAATATAAGTACATTTTTGTCACACCCAAAATAAGCCTACACCACAGAGGAAGTCACAAAATAAAAACCGTAAGAACTTACACCAGGCATGCTCCCTCCGGTAACTGGTTTCATCATAGTGTACATATTCTCACCTCCAGAGTTGGAAGAATCTTGAACAGTGGTATACATGTCCCAAATTAATTAACCACGCCAACAATAAAATAGCTATAGAATTTTTTTTTTTTTTTTTTAGTTTACCTTGAGGACTTTGCATTATGGGGGTGCCAGGTCCGGGAGGGCCGCCTGATCCAGAAGGTCCCTAAATAACATTTGATAGTTGTGCAATATCTACTGTCTGATGTACTATTTAAATTAATTTGATTTTTTTGTTTTTTTAAAGTCCCTTTCTATTTGTGTTATAGAATTTTTTTTTTTTATTAACAACTTTTGTCAGTGTAATACCCTCAGAAGAAAAAATGATTTCAACAATGAAAATGTATACAACCTAATTCACGTACCTACTCTATGAATAATAATACTAAGGACCATTCTCACGATGTACCCAAAGTGTCAGTAAAAGTGGTTACGTTTAGTCGGTTTTAGCAATCTGTTCTTACAACCATCGTATAACTAACGCTCAGTTCTATTGAACTATTTATTACGCAGTTTTATTTACTATACAATTAGCTATATAGCTTTATAGTTATATAAAAATGTACACATATTTTAAATACAATTAATCGTAACATTGTTTTAGCTTTGTACTCTATTTTTGTGAAAAAAAAATGTAAATATATATTATATATATATAAAAAACTGTCATTTCGCTTTCAAAATCCGAGAAATCACTTTCTTTGCAGAAAAAAAAAATTGTGCACACCTTAAGACACCATTTGAAAAAAACAATATTTTGTTCAAAAAACAAAAAATTATAAAGTACTGATAAGCTTATGCAAATAACCGAAAGACTGTAGTTAAACGGTATAATTATGAATAGTTTCATTATCCAGTTTAAAAAAAATTTTTACTTAACCGATGTATGTAAGAAAAGACTGTCCGTAAATATTGTAACTAACACTTTACGGGACATTATAAGAACGGTCTTAATATATAATATATAAATAACTTCATTTTGACCACGAATCAAAATAAATTTAACTAAATAAAAAGTTTTTATAATTGGCTAATACAAACTCACCCCGTATGCACCAGGAGACGACGATGACGAATAACCCATAGGCTAAACAACAAAACATTTTTTTTTTTTTTTAATTGTCTTTCCACAGTAAGCGCAATATTAACTTACAGTATTTACATTCGGCTGCCAGTGTGGTGGTCTTCCACTAGGTCCACCTCCCATAGATAATGGCGGTATGCTGCTCGGCCCCAAAGTAGCGTTAGGCGGAGGACCGCGCATGCTGGGGCCTCCGTACGATCCCAACGGACCCATACTTCGAGGAGGATTCATCCGTGGATTCATTGGGCCCATGCCACCTGCTCCTTGATAACACATTAGCCATTTTCAGAATTGTCAAATTGCATTTATTAAAACAATGATACTGTTATTAAAACACCGCATTCACATACAAAGCAACAATAATCAGCAAATAGACACAAAATATATGATAGGGTTTAAAATGGATTGTATTATGTGTGCATTATAGGTTGGAAGTAAATTAGTAAAAGGAAAAAGGCGGAATGATTATTAATGACATATCGTGTATTTCAATGATTTTTTTTTCAACAAATATATTATGAATGAAGTAAATAGTTATATTTAAGATAGAAGTCCTTTGATAGTTTTAACAAAATGAAATCCAAAAATGTGGGTAAAATAGTATAGCCAGTTGTCACATTAGCGTTACTTACTATAGTTTTTGGTTTCATTATTAGGTCTCTAGAGTATTAAAAGTATCGTAGAGTAAGTAATTATAAAATGCCTAACACTTTAGAAACTCTATGATTAAAAGTCTTTTCAAAACATGTAGGTGGAACTACGGAGCGGCCGACTTGTTTAAACTACTGAACTGATGAATAACCAATCGTGCACTGCATCTGACAAATTTTATCGAGCCAATGTTGTTTGTAACTTTATTTTATCCATTTAACGATGACATTCAACGGTAGATTAAATCGGCTATACTGTAGCTTCATGTCCGTGTCCACTTTTGTGATAGTAGTCTGATTTTAAACAGTGTTGCCTTCCACAAAGTATTCTAATTATTAGGTATTTTAATCGTACCTTATAGTCTAACATTGCAACACAAGTGGTTATGTTATTACTAACTGGGTCAAAAAAAAAAAAAAAAATTAAATTAATACACACTTCATCGACACTGATGACTGTACGAATAAACTCTATTTAAATTTACTATTGTCGTTATTTAATTTTCATTTAACTCGACGCAGAAAAACATGTTATCTACATTACAATGCTTCCGAAATTCGCACAAAAGCAATTAACCCATTTAGTTTTAAAATACTATTACAAATGAATGTGTTTAAGTTGCAACAACCGCGTACACTTAAGCCATTTGCTTTGATTTATAAAATAGTAAAAAAATATAAATAATGAAAAGGGGCTCCGCTACTATGAGGTAGGAATTTGAAATCTGTAGAAATACTCCCTAAAATGATCTTTTTTTTAATTCAGTACTCCAATTGTAACTATTAAATTCATTGTTTAAAACTATACAAATCACCAATGCAATATAAAATACATTTCAAATGAGTTTCATAAAAAATTCATATAATCAATAAATAGATTTCGTTTTTTTGCTCTCCAAAAGTAAATTTAAACATACTTTTTTAATACTGATAAAATTGTTAAATATTATGTTCAGTGATTCGGTTTTAACTTATTAAACATACGTAGGATATGCTTTTGAATGATAAACTAATAAAAACGGTTAAAAAGAATTTTTAAAAACAATCAGCAAAATAACTTAAAACGAAATTTAGTTACAGAGCACAAATTAAAAATATACCTTATGGGTGAACAGTTAAAAAAAAACACCACTGTTACTAAATTACATCATAACTAAATTATGTATATTTTCTTAGGTTTACGTCTCGTGAAATTTCAGAAATAAATACAAAATTACATATTATATAACTGCATAATATTTTTTTTGTCAATGTTATGCTTAAGACCTTAAAATGTTCTTATGAAATATTAAGAGTTTTGCACATATAAATTAAGGTATTTCAAGCTTAATAATGACATTCAAAAGTCAACATGCTCCGTAAACTACAAGTTATGATAAGCCCGAATGACATTTTCTCATACGACGATTCCAAATGAAAAAAGTGAACCAATATGTGCATAAATAAAATTGCAAGGTGCGATATATAAAACAATGTGGGTAATACGCATGTTGGGATATGTTAGTAAAATAATAATTGTTTTCAGTCATAGGAAAAAAAAATAGAAATATGTTCAGGCAAACCACCATAGGTGTATAATGTGCATAAGAAAATAATAATGTCATATACCTTGCCAACCTAAAAAATCTCCGGCTTCACCTACACGATAGACAAAAATTATTAAGTAAATAAAAAAACATAGATTTCAATAATATAAATATCATTGCATATCTCTCTTAACATGTAACAAACTCCTAACAGTAAATATATATATGCATTTATAATAAATCGTTTTACGGTAAAAAAAAAAAAACACGCTGCTGTAATTATCAAATATTAATTTAAGCAGAGCCCAAAGTAAGTATATGGGACGATATCTAACTATATAAAGTGATTACTTCAGACGAACCCTTAACAGTATACAGGTTTTCACTTATTAAACTAACTAGTCAAGGCTAATATTAAGTTCACTATTCTATATCACTTTTACCTTGCCAATTTTTTTTTTATTTTCAAATGATAATCTTGATATTTTTTCCAAAACGGTGATTAAATGATTAAACTAAAAATAATAACTAGTCAATAACCAGTTTTGAATATGATATTCTAATAGTATAATACATTAGAGAAGAAGCGATTTCTCTAGCGCTTCAATCGAACTACACTACAAGTACCAAGATATAACACAAAGTGAAATTCATGTTAAAAGTTCAATACTGTTACGATTGTTTTAGAAATACAACTGATGGTGAACAATTCAAATTTTTCTGAAATAACCACTGTAACTTAATGGAAAACGGATAACAGTATAACAATCTCACCTTGTCGTAATGGATCCATACCGGGCATCATTGGTTGGCCAGTCGGCTGAAAATGAAATATGTTAACTTAATAAATATTACATCATAGGTGAAATCATTGTAGAAAAAAGTAATTAATGTTATTTTGACCACTCACTGAAGAAAACTCATTTCCAAGAGGGGACATACGAATTCCTGGTCTTGGGCCCCCAGGATAACGAGGACCCATGAAGGGCTGTCGAAAAAAAAAATATTAATTTTAATCAAGATAAATTATATTTAAGAATATCTTTAAATTACTAATCTAAATACCTGGTTAGATAAAATCTGCGAGGGAGCTTGAGATTGTTGAGGAGGAGATGGTCTCATGGAGGCGTTCTAAAAATAAAATAAATTTATAACGATCTTTCTTAAATCAACGCTCATAATACATATTTTAAAGTTTTTTAATAAAAATAGTTCTAACAATTAACATGTAACTGTCGAAACTTAATATATTTCTACCTCTATAAAAAATAATAATTTTTTCTCCAAATAAATGCTATACATAAAAAATTGTAAATGAATAAGTATTTTATAAATGTGTCGTTTTAATGTAACTCAATATTTAACTTTTTTATTATGAAATAAGTAAACTCAATAAGTTATGTTGTTTAAAATATGTTATTTGTAAAAAAAAAAAACTTAATTTAGCTATTTATATTTGTCAAAAATAAATTTTAAATTAATATGAACATTTAAAATTTGTTTTAAAATATGTTCACAGTCATCCACAGAATTCAACTAAAGAATTTGTTTTATTTTACACATATTTAATTCCTAAACATCTAAAGTTATTGGCTTGTCTATCATTTTATATTAATCATAATTATTTTATATCAAACATCAAAAATAGGTACCGGGAAAAATCCACCTGGTAGTGGTCCACCAGGCATTCCATCATTAGGTGGAATTTGTCCAAGAGGACTAGGCGAAGGTCCAGAGTTCTAAAAAAATAATCAGTTATAAAGTTTCCCTACGTTTAAACAAAATCGTAAAAATGCAATACTTACATGAGCTATACCATTCACTCCATAACCTGAATTCACAAAGCCCTATAAAAAAAAAAAAAATAGTAAATTTATTCTAAAATCATTACACAAGCATTACACAGTGTAACTATGAGTACATGAATAATTTCTTACATAATCGTGGAAAGCTTTAGCCTCACTTGAATGTTCACAAGTATCACGTCGTTCCGGAGCAGCACAGTATAAATCCCAGAACACACTAAAATAAAATTTAATTATGAATAAACAAATAATAGAAAACAACAATTCCAGCACAGTGGGTCGGAGCAGTCACAGGTTAATAGGGCTTATTGTTACTGAGCTCTGTGAAAAATATTTAGATGCAATTGATTTTCATTTTTTTTTTTTTTATCAACTTTTATACTTTCTTTTAGGTTTTTCTTTTTAAATGACATTTGAACTATCGACAAATAAGATGGAACAAAGTCTGTGTATGCTTAAGACAATTGTTTGCAATAAAATCGAAAACCACAATAAAATGTCGATATAATTGTGTTTTTTTATGACAACTCTTTAATGAATTAAATAACCTTAAATTCATTATCATTTGTCTATAGATTTTTAAAGGATCAGCATTTTGAAATATCTTTGAGATTCGGTAGTCCATCTGCTCCGAAGAAATTTGATGCCAGTGGCGCCATGCCATAGGTAATGTATTAATAATATTATAATACTCACCACCACCAAGAATGCAAAAATCCTGGAGGTTCGCCTAATGTAATGTTTTTTTCCCATCTAATCTAAAACACAATGATTAAAAACCAATTATATAACGTTTTCCTAAAATATTGTGTTACATAACATATAGTTGTACATACTATTTTGTGCTAGTTAATTAATTTATTCTACACAGAATTTTCTCTAAAACCATAAATTGTATTTTTAATATTTTTTTAATTCATCACGTCATGTCATTGTCTATTGCGTTGTTGTCTTGATTAAATGTATTAAGAAAAACTCATTAATAAATTATATCAATGCATAAACCAAATATTACTTTATACTCAAATTGGTTACTAGTTTCTATACAGAGACAGAGCTACGAGGTGTGCTAGATGTGCAATTGAACTAAATTTTAAATTCTAAATTTTGTTAAATTAGTTTTATAACAAATAATAATTAAAAATATTTATATTACTTCAAACAAATGATATTATCTATTGAAATTTTGAAAAATTATAGATTACTATAATTTTTGAGAACTTATTACAAAAATTAAAATATATATCTATAACCCATTATTATTAACCAATAATTAGTTAAAACAATTTTGTATTTAATTAAAAACAGTAAATGATGTGTAGACAAAATTTTGGGATCAAACACTTATTTCACTTATGGTCGAGTAGTGTGCTCAGAAAAATATAACAATACACTACGACATAACCATTTTCTTTAACGTTTTAGTGCTAAGAAAGTTATATACAACTGCTATTTTTCAAATAATACTTACAATAGATGAACTTCATTTAAATACAGTTAACAAATATTATATGTGTAGTCATACACAATTCAAATATTGATGATTATTAGTTTAAAAAGGGTTAGTTAATATTAAGCAAATTATTAAAACACTACAATCACTTATTTTTAGTTAGTAGTTCGTATTTTAACTAAAAACAAACGAAACCATTTTGTAAAAAATTGATTTTGGATACTTGTTAATTTTTATAAGATAATTAGCTATTATTAATACTAAGTTTTTTTAAAATATTTATTACCTTCTATCTTTAATTAAAACTATAATTATTAGCAGTGAGAAATTGATTGTACAAATTAAACATTTGTAATAAACTAGAAAAACCAAGCATTGATTAAACTTTTTCAAATTTAAAAAAGCTTTAAAAAGTGAACAATTGATAGTGTTATAGAAAACTATGTAGAACATATAATATAATAGGCACATTTTACATACTGCTTACTTCATTTAAAAACGTCTGAGCTGCTTTTTGGGCGCCGATATGTAGTAAGTATTCATAAACATACAATGCTAATCTGAAAATAAAAATACCAACATTACTACCGTGTAATAATATGCATAGCATAAGCACATAACGCTTATTTGTTATTTATTATTGTCATTGAATACAAGTTAAGATTAAATATAAAGTATGTAATTAGTAAAACGAGATAACATAAAGCCCCGTCCACACTAAGTGACAACATTTAGCAACTGTGCACAGTTACTAAGTTGCAACACTTACTGTGTTGCAACATGTTGCTTTTTACTTGTTTCCATCTTTTGATTAAAAGTGAAACATGTGGCAACTAACGATTGTTGCCTTATCGTTATTTCGGCTAAAAGTTTTGATATTTGTAATAAATACAACAACGTTCGAAAATCGATATAATAATAATAACTTGCAATAAAGAAATACTGGTGAAATAACAATTAAAATCTATGCAAAATAACGTTAAGTAAGTAAATAATGAAATATAACAAACTGAGAACATTCATTGATACTACCAAATTGCGCTAATATCGAAAAGTGTACCATTTTTTGTGGGGAATGGAATACTTTGTTACTGAACTATAATAATATAGTATTACAGGTACTTTACAAGTTTTGCTTGGATTATTTCTGGAAGACAAATACTTAATTTTTATGTATTCGTAATTGACAGTCGAGTAGTGAAATTATAAACGTTATAACTGTACGAACTATAGCTAGGGTCTGTCTGTCGCCGAGTCACTACCGATTGTCGCTAAACAAACACCGCCGACGACAGGGTTACTCACTTTTCTCTAGCCTGAGCATCGGAGGGCACGGTCGCGCCCTTTCCTTTAGTGTACATTACTTTGATTGTGCACTCGACCCGGAGACGTGGGGTAAACTTGAATAATATGACACTGCTAGAATGTTATGATATGACACTGCAATCACGTCGTTTAATTAATTCGACGTTGTCGGAGTCATCGTTTTTTCTTTAAAAAGGGCGCGGGCGGGCTCGGGGTGATCCGTCTTTGTCGGCGGGATAATTGAAAATTATTGTTCCAATAAAAACCGAGATAATACACGTTTACTGTGGCGAAACGCACGGTCGACTACGCTTTGGCTGAGCAAAACCCGTCGGACGGACATGTGAAAAAAAAACCACTGGCAACCGGGTCGGTCCGGTCTATGTCCTTCGCCGTGTGTGTGTGTGTGTGTGTTGCGCCTTGCTAATATCGCGCGTCGTAGCTACGTTAAACACTGAGGATAATCGACTGCGGCGGCGGCGGCGGCGGCTACGACAGGTAGTCGGCAGTGTTGTTAATGATAATAATATTCGAGTGGAACGCGCGGTTTGGCCGGCGCGAGGTTGAATCTCCAACCGAACACTAAACGACAATTATTCACGTTTTTTTTTTTTCTCTACGACAATTTCGAAGGCGTAAAATCTCGCGAACGGCGTACTCGTGGAAATCGATGAAAACTGGAAAGCAATGATGATTACATTACACACATACACGACGGTCGTCGTATATAGAGAGAGGAGAGGTACGTTGTGTTATAACAACAACGGATGCGCGGCGAAACGGTGCGCAGCGTTGCGCGGTGCGGAGTCGTCTTGCCGAAAACGACGGCTGATAACAACAGCTGATAACAGCACAATATACGCACAACATATTATTAAACGACCCACGTACCCAGCTAATCGACCACCGCGGTCGTTCGTTTTGAGCGATCCAATCGCAGCTGCTGTAGGTACGACGCTATCATATTATTATACCTACCGCACAAACGAAAATTCGGTTTGTTGTGTGGCCGGCATCGCATATTATTAAGGAGTAAATAGTAATGACCCATCTCATTTGACCATATTGATTTTTAAAAATTAATCATCAAATTTAATGACGATAGTAGATACTGCCTACTAATGTAAACTCAACATTGTAAAAACGAATTATAATATTGTATTTATTCAATTATAATATTACATTTTTTAGATACCTAAATTTAAAAAACAAAAATGATAGAATTATTTGTTTTATGTAGAGAACGATTTTTTTTATTATGAACCACTTAACATCTCGATGGGTTTAATTAATCATTGGACTTTTTTTTTTCTCAATGTTTTAATATAATCACAGAATAAATAATGATCAAATATTTTTCAAATATATTTGTTTTCTGATATAATGTTATCTCAATTTTCCACAAATTTACATGTAGATTTCCTTTATCTAAAGACTAAAACATAAACTTGGTTGATTTTCAATAATTTGAGAATAAACATTAAACTAATCGAACTGATAATTAGTACCTTTAAACAATTGCATGCCAATTCGGAATTCCTGATACAGATTTCTTGTCAGCAGTCCAGCAAAGAAATGTAATTAGGGTTCCATTCGAATTCCCTATACCGGTAGTCCCTCAAAAATTGCATTAGGGGTTGCATTATAGTAGATTCCACCTATTATATGTCCTATAGGTATATTATATTAATCAAGAGTCATAAGTATTTTTTGGGAGTCACCAGTCCCCCAAAAAATTTGGGCTATTTGCACCTATGTATAATGTCAAAATTCCATATTATGTATATATGTATATATATATATATATATATATATATATATATAACGACGGAAGTACAGAGATGGAATGGATTGTTCGTTATGTGAGATATATGTGTGTGTATTATTAATTTATCCTGACTTCTCCTAATTCTATTATCGCTCTAAAGTTATTAATATATAATATTTCCGCGTACCTACCTTGTTCTGGTTCAGCGACGATGTAGAAGTTGTAGCTGACGTCAAGGATGTTGATTTAATTTAAAACCTTTTACTACTCGTTTAAGAATAATATGTTGTTGTACGATTCTACACTTATCGTCTATTTAATGTAACGGTATATTTCACCAATAGATATGATTTATCTGTACTTATGCAAATTGATCTAACTTAATTGTGATCATATCGATCAGTATTATTAAATTGACAATTTTTATTTGCTATAGTATCTAGGACTTAACGGCCCACACAGTCCATAGTGGTCAAGACTGTACAGTCATCACTCATCAGGTAAAATCTATATAATCTATATAATCTAAAAAAAAAATGTTTCAAAATATTCATATTTCGGGAGAAAATAGGTGTTTTACATCAATTGGATGGCCCTGTATAAAAATTAGTAAAAAACGTTAAATAAAAAAAATGTTTAAAATGTTTTATTGTTTTGCAACATAGTAGAAACAGCGCAGGATAAAAATTTATTAAAATACCGTGAACAATTGTTCGCTATTATTTCAAATTAAGAACTATATGTATATAAACTATAAATCAATTTGTTGTCCTTTAAATTATGTGTTTTCTATTATTGATAGTGTGTAAGGTTTTCTAATTTATATAGTCTACTAAATATTTATAGCTAATCGATTGCGTGGCATAAACAGTAACATCTAAACTTCCCATGGACGTAAGACATCTAAAAAAAAAATGCTACAACCAAGTTGTTCGCCAGTACTGCTAATGATGCCGATTTTCATTTTATACTCACCGTAGAAAAATACTTTTGGAAAATTTAACTTTTCATTTAACGTTTCCATGGGGATATCAGACGACACATAAACTCCCTGTGTATGGAAAAGTATAAAATAATATTAATAACTATAGGTACACCACGTTTAAATTCCACTTGAAATTTATACTATTTCAATTATAATTTCAATTATCTGTAGAGTGTTGAACATTACCGGTTTTATTGGGCAACTAGTCCAATTAAATTGTTTGCTTAATATAGCAAATGTATTTCCCATTATCCAATTAAATTTCGTACAAGCTTGAGGCGTCGAGTAAACGTAATAATTTTCAGCCCAACCTCCAATAGAACCTCTTTTAGCAAAATAAAAGAAAAGCTGTAAAGTATAAACAGCTTTAAAATATATATTTTAGAAAAAACTAGTATATTTAGGTAGGACAGGAAGTTTACAGGTCTGAATGTTATATAAAATCACTTTCAAAAAACGCTTAGAGGCGAATTTATAGTGTAAAATATAAACTCTTTAAATTTCAATTAAAATGATAGCAATAGTGTTATTATTTACAGTCACTTTTTAGAATGGACGTAATGAATTACTACATTTATTATGTGTCAAAAGTATTGAGCATTATAAAAGAACTTGTAATTTTAGATAGAAAAAGGAACAAAAACGATACCCATCGAAGCCAAAAAGTTTGGTTATACAAAATATAAATTTAAAAAAATATAATTAATAATTTTAAGTAAAAAATAAATGTACTTACGGACATCGAATCGTCAAATGGAATCAAATATGTAAAATTGCCCTTTAAGACATATGAAGTAGCACTTGCCTTACGTACGCAGAAGTTTATCTGCAACTTACCATGTTCAAAGTGCTCACATTGACTGGTAGCCTTTATTTTAAATTTAAATTCTCCCTAAAACGATTTCGGACATGGTTATTTTCCATTGGTGTTTTACAGGATGATCCATTAAGGAGAATGCATTAATTTACTCTTAAAAAATTGCAATTGTGAAGTTTTTCGTTTTGGAGACGATTTAGTTTATGTTATTTTACAATATTAGGCAGTATTCAAAATTTACCTCTTTTATTTTCTTTTAGAGCTTTATCAACTTTTTAAATTAAAAATCACTCTGTATTTCGTCCATTCATCTTTTCTTTGGTCTTCCTCTTCCTCTTTTTCCCTCTACATTCATCTTCATAACACCTCTCACCACCTCTGCCTCATCTCTTCTCATAGCATGACCGAACTATCTCAGCCTATTATCCACAATTGATACAGCTCCTCATATTTTTATAATATTGAAAACTAACATATACAAAAATGTTTCAAAAAAAGACACTGGAAAATTGTAATTTATTTTAGACATACTGATTGTGAGTGTCTTATCCTAAATGAATTACCCTGTCAATCATAAAACGGAATTACCATTGGGAGAGTTGGATAGTACGTTGGTGGTTTTTTCGCTGGTGCCGTTACCATTTCAATACAAATCAATATTATGATACTGTGTCGAAGCATCTTGCTGGTTGTATGTATTACTCACAGTGTTAAGCTAATCGGGTCGATCGGCGGTATATCGAACGTGGAATTCCAACGTTGGAACTTGGACAAAACCAATTGCCATTTACAAATTTTTAATAAGCCACAGCCAATTGACCATCAGCTACCTCTAATAGTTTTATAGTCGATCACTTCAAGATCAATATCTACAGTACCAAATTGCTGGTACCAAATTTCGTATAACTGTGATCATATCTTACGTGCTAGTCATCAAATCAAGGATTTCGGAAACATAAATGCAAATAAAACACATAACCGTGACTGCGGTAGCAATGACAATAGGAATATCAGTTAGCGTTTGTTTTCGTGTCGTTCAGTTTTATAGATCTTCCCGTAATAATGCCCGCTAAACGGAGTAATAATATGAAGGTTAATTGAAGGGGTCAGTGGATAAAGATTTTAACTGACATTTTTGAAATTGTTCAGGAACGCCACTTTAGTAACTAAATATTACACGAAAGCTATGGAACTTTTGTATATTCAATAGATGAAATAACTTATAAGAGGAAAAATATCGGTCTAGAGATCCTCTATACCATACTATAACACTATAACCCTTTTATTCATGTAATAAAATGCATGTTCGAAAAAATATTAGTTAACACCTTTATCCATTGACCCCTTCAATTGTAGGTTATTGTAGGATATTATACAGCTAAGGTGTAAGTGATTCAAAACGTGTTGTCGCCATTTTTGAAAATAAAAAAAATTGTATAGTAAAACAATGTACGGTCACAAAACTGCTTAAAACAGACAGCAATCCCTTAAAATCAATAGTAAGTATAAAAACCCTCTAATGCTATCGTAATTTTTACAAAATGTCACTATAATTTTAAAACTAAATTACTACTGTAATATTTTTAAAAGTTTCAAAAATGTTGTTACCTACTGTGTAGTCGTTAAAGTCATAAATGTATATGTTAACTCTTAAACTAAAACTAAAAACAAGAAGATTTTTATATAGTATTTACTATTTAATAATTATTATATAATATTTATATATTATTACATAGATGTGACAAATCGAATTAACAAAGTTTTAGACCCGTTTGCAGAACAAAATAGGCGCATCTATAACTCTTGTATAAAATACCTGTAAATTGCAATATTGTATTAATTTTTGTTATAAAATTAAAATAATAAACTAAAGTGTTAGACGTTAAATTATTATGCAATATTCTTGTTAAAAAAAACTATTAACTTCATTAATTAAAATTAAAATTTAAATACCTACCTGTAAAATTCAGAGTTTAAGCATCTTCAGCATTTTTTTCAACCGTTACAAAAGTAATTTTTAACTTTTACGATCTCAGCTGACCAATAACAGCACATACGTTTAAATTTCAACTCGAAACATTTTTTTTTTAAAAAACACAAAATCCATAAAATAGTTTTGTTAAATGTGAATAGCCTACCTGTCTGAAAGAAGGCAAATTTGTAATTAAACTAAAGATCTTCCAAACAACTTACGACAAAAATTGAAATCGAGCCTTATTCAATTATAATATAATAAATATTGAGTCAACTACACAACTAGTTTCTTCTTTCGCCTCAAAATAAATCCTGATTTACATAGAGTAATAATTTGTAAAACGAGCATTCGATAGTTAGAAGTTTGAGTGTTTATTGGCTTTTCATAAAACGTTTTTCTATTCATCGCAGGTGTTTATTGTTATCGTTGCATACTAAATATTATACTAATAAATGTCAATATAGTTGATAAATTTGTCGAATAAAGGACCAGCAAAGAAAACAATAATTAAACAAGAAACGTTTGCTGAACAAACGGTTAAACACAATGTTCATTCAATGATTTCATCAGGTTGAACGATTATCTTGATATTTCGAAGAAGAGTCTGTTCGCAAAACGCTACGCAACAAGTATAAACGCGATATGACGACAGTGATGTTTTCGATTGCTTTGTCCAGCTGTTTTTCTAACGAACCCATTCGTTGGACTATCCTGTAAAGCATAGTGCAATGTATGATAATGTTGACCCGACCGTCATATTTAAATACTATCTTTACTTATCGGTGTCTACGGTGGTTTTGTTCGCTCCAACATACACTTCTTTATTGAAAAAAAAAAAAAAAAAGAACAGGTTTAGGATTCAAGTCGACTCTGTAATTAGAGAGGATTGTGTTCCTACCTGACGGGCTGGGTTTCGTTAACAAGTCGTCGAATAGCTGTTTGACTTGGTTTTCGTGGACGACCCCGTGAGGTTCGATGTTATTCCTCCCTAAAGTATTTTCCGTTTCCTCTTTCGTAAGATTACAACTGAATATCATAGGATAAACATCAATCGACATTATCGTTTACCAATGAAATACAACGTAGTAATAACATTCAGACCGGGGTTTTCAACCCAACTTATTCATTTGGGTTCTTAGGTGGACTTGATTATTGGGGGGTGGCCTATAACTATTGATATAATATTCATATTCACAAATTAAGGATACTGGATACTATAGAAAAAGGTAAAGGAATTTGTCATAAGTATTAAACATTAATTTAGTTTTTAATATTTAAAGAGTACCTGCGTTTTTCATACTTTTACTTTTTTTTTTTTTTTTGAAGGAGGGCTATAGTCTCTGTAATATCAAAATGTTATGGCTGAGAAGGAGATTTCACACAACTCAAGCTCATATTCGTGGGCTTATGTTTCGTATGCTTCACCTTAAGTCCACCTGGCACTTATGATTTGGGTTTGGGTTATTCGGATGATAAATGAAAAGTAGAAATCATTCATTTCTGAGCTAGTTACCGCCTCAATAGTTTATAGACGTCTTCATAGCTCATATATTCTAGTTCGGTTTTTGCCATGTCTCTGCGTTTGAATAACCTATTGAAAAACGCTACAACCTTGTCCCAAACATAATGTTTCCGGTCGCCAATCAGTTCTTCAATGTCCACGTCAAAGTATGCGTGAAACGCTATTGCCACTAGCATGGTCTGAAACGGTAACATACTTTCAATTATCTATTTAATTACGCTTTAAGTTGAGAAATAATTATCGAATACAGATGAGAAAAGAAGAGTGCAAGAAATGTCAAGGAGAAACTTAGAAAATCATGAATATTTTTTTTGGCAATGACATCCACTTGCTCCTAATTTTTACTGAACATTACATAATGTAAATGACGATTCATCTGATGGTCTATAATAAAAACGAGTGATAAGAGACACGTTATAGGTCAACAATGCCCAATGGGGAAGATTTGATCTTGTTAAAAAGTGTTACCTACGCAAATGTCTAACTGTCTCTCTGCCGTAAAACATATTAACGAATGTCGACTACATGGTTGGATAAATTTTAAAAAAATTTATACTTACCAAAAAAACGAAAACTACTACACACGTGTACATGTTGAAAAATATCGTGGTCAGCGTTTGATCGACGTGCTCGATGGAACGGTAATCGAAATCCCTCACCAGTATTCTCATGGCGGACATCAACGAATTTCCAACAGTGGAAAACCCTTCGACCTAAGCGAGTAAATTGTTTTTGTTACATGTCGGCCATTAGGTAAATTTCAATGTCAATTACACATAAGTGTAATTACCTGTGTGCCGAAAGCGCAATATCCGAGCACGGCGAACGAAAACACAACAATCATAATAACCACCAAGTATTTTGTCACAGCGCTGAAACACTGTTTAAAAAAAAAAAACACTTAAAGTTGATCGCGTCCACTAATTCTTCAATTTTTGTTTGCTATTTATGAACTTTTAGTTGGCCATTATGTAATATGTTTCATAAGAATGTAAGTAACTCGTATGGTACGACTAAATAAATCGTTAAAAATAAGACTGATTTAATCTATACAAATATTGTACTTTAATAGTTAAATTATTGATGTTTACGTCTAAAAAATTTGGTTTGATTTATTGAGTTTGTTTTTGTGGATAAAAACATAATATGTTATGGTTTTTTTTAAGTAGATGCCTGAATCACCTAACCTAACCATTTCGTTCTCTCTACAAATTGTTTTGTTTTATCGGTTATAAAAACCAAAGAATTCTTGACTGTTACATACCCTATCAATGCTTAAGTATATGATCGTCATGGTTTTGGTCACGTCGAAATACTTTATGGTCTTGATGCAAGCCACGAACAGCAAGACCGCAGCCATTAAATTCAGACTCTCGTGCCTGGACACCAAGCTGTCAAAGAACTTGTGACCCTGGCCGGATTCCAGAGAGTCTTCAATTTCTGATGGTGGTTCCGCTTTTACCATCAACGCTATCATTGTGGCACAAGCCCAAACGAGCTTTAAATATTACAAAATAATATTAGGCGATAGTCAAGGGCCATTACTCTGCCCCTTTATCAGTTATTGTAGACTGTACAATATGCATACAGGGTATTTCGTGGCAAACCCGATTTTTTGACGATACGTTAAAATTATGAAAAATTTACATACCTATGTAAACCTTTTTGGTTTTTTTATCAAACAATAGTTTAAAAGTATTATAAATTTAAAAGTACAATTTTATCAATCGGACCACAGCTTACAATCACTATGCAGAAGTCGATCATGTTCCAAAAAATGGTAAAGTAACGAAGCTTGAAGTATGATGCTTCAAACAACTCCTCGATTGTGTAGTAGAACATCACAATTGCGAAAACGGTTATGCCGCAGATCAAACCTAGCTTCGAGTCGGTCACGAAGTACTCGTGTATTTGTGCTGTTCGAATATTATAAGAAGGTATGATTCCACCTGATTCCGGGAACTCAAACACTAGTCTGTGAAAAATAATTAGTGAAAAAGAGGGAACACTGCTTGTTAGAAACATTTGGCGAATAAAACAAAGATTTGTTTCGTGCGTCGAAATCAACAATATTGGAGAATTTCGGATAAATTTTGTATTTTTTAATACTATGCATATATTTTTGCTAACATACTGAAATCATAATCCTATATTTCTCACTTCACAACGCAGATTGTATTGGCATTGCCATTATAAATAGCGAAATCCACAAAAACCGCCCGGGTGCCTCGATTAAGCCACGTGTCGTGTTCGAGTTCTTTTATTTGTGTTAAACACTCGGCACTGGTTTTTGGAAAATCAAAAAAATACCCGCCGGCTCCATAATAGGCTAGTCTGCCGCTGTAGTACAATCCCTGAGTTTTATCCGCATTGGAATAAATCCACCTGTAATGAAACCAACGGTTTCTTTATAATGTATTTATATTGGAGTATCTAGTGTAAAACAAAAAGGGGAGGACATTGGTTATCAACTGGAAGTACCGAAGACATATTCATATTGAAAAATATGAATATATTACAGACTATTTTCATAATGTCTATGGTCATATATTTGATAAATCATAGACAAAACAATAAATATCATAGACAAAACAATAACTGTTCACAAAATGGTAGAATAAAATTATCGATTAAATTATTAAATAAGTATTATTATACATTTTTTTTGTTAAAAAATTGGTATATTTCATTGAGTGTTTTCAACAAGTACCTAAAATGTACGATTTCTGGTCTATATAGTTAAAAGAACATTGTATTTTATATAAAGTACTTATTTTACACTAAAAATTTCAGCAAGATTGGTTTTATAATTTTATCGCAAAACATTTCCAAAATTAACTTCACTTTAAGCTTGTCACATCAGGTACCGCTCTTAAATGCATTATCATTTTCAAAAAACACTTACTTATTTCTAACAATTCATATACCACTATTACAAAATAACGAAGTAGACAAAACCGTTTTACAAGTTTAGAGATCAGAATTGAGTATGGATGAAACTACTTATGAGTATTAATTTTATATGCATTAACTTTTTCGTTGTGCTAAATGGTTAATATATTATACTGACGAAGCATACAATGTGCCTAGTATTATATTAGGTGCCCAAATAATACTAGACTAACTAAATATGTTAATAATATTATTTATCCGAGTAATAAAAATACCGTTTCTTAACTGTTAGATTAAACTTACTGCGTTCCGTTTCCAGGTCCAAAAGGTCTTTTATCTTCATATTTAAGTTTATAAGGTACATAACATTCTTTGAACAACCCTTTAAACTGATTTCTTATATTGCAATGCCCTTCTTCGACTCTAACCTAATTGACAAATTTAAACCTGTCGAATGACGGAGTCTAAGGGACCGTTAGGTTAGGTTACATTTAAGTTATTCATAACCTATATTTTTCTTAGATAGTAAAATATCAATGAGGTTACAAAGTTATTACTCGATAGTTATAAGAAAAAATGTGTATACAGGATGATCCATCTGATGTAAGACATTAATTTTCTCGGTAAATATGAATATACCTACCTAAAAAGGTTATAGACTAAAAAAAAAGTATAATAAATAATTTTTTTTTGTTGCATTATGTCCAGTAAGTCGTCTGGAGAAATAGGTATATTTGTCATTTTATAGGTAATATTATGGCATGTCCAAAACTAATCTTGTCATAAACTTTCTATTGCCAATTTTGGGTGCTTTTGCCAGTTTTCAGCCGCTCATTTTCTAAGTAGGAGCACTTATGCCGGTTCTCTGGGAAATATATACTTTCCCAGACGACGTATTGGGCATAATGATTCCAAAAAAAAATCCACTATAAGAACAAACGTACCTGTCTGGATCTGGGTCGATACAACAGTTTATTCTCGTAATTAATAACGTCCGATTCATTGGTGCTGAAAAGGGTGGTAGGAGTGATGGTGTTGTTGTTTGTTTTGGTGGTGTTTGTGCTGTTGATGTTATTGGGGATCATTTCTTTGGCCATTGGATGTTCGTTGATACCGTACAGTTTTTCGCAAAGGACGTCCTTGCAATACTAAAACGAGTACACTGCATCAAGTAGTAGTATGGGATTGAAAACTGCATTACTTGCTTTCCAGAAGTGTTCCATGGTGTATATGTTGCGGTACTTGATGAAAAATGTGTAGGCAAAAGTGTCCTCGAAACTAGCGTCCAAGAACAACGAGGCCATTTTTTGGTTGACTTCATACATGTCGTACGAATAAATGTCTGAACAAGCTTTGGCAAACGATAATATAAAAAACGGTTAGTGCATAATATAGTAAATCATTTTTTTTCACAAGGAACAAGTATTTTATAATTTTAACTTATGTAGATAGGTAAATTTTTTTTTATATATTTCACATTCACCATGAATATTTAATACATTTTTTAACGTTTAAATTTAAATCATAAGTTGAAATTTAGCATTGGTGCGTATTGTTTTGGCAATGATGTGTGCATCAATTTAAATTTTTTCGTTTGGACCCACAATATTTTTCAAACCGCTAAACCGATAACTTCGTGTAGCAAGTATATAAATACCAGATTTATACAGTACTTTATTGGATCAATAATTTTAAAAAATGCACGCCTTTAAAACGAAAACAGTAAGTTTTTTCGGTTGGTATTATCGTTTTCCCAAACGCCATAGTGTTTATTTTTTAAAGGGTGTTTTTTTAAAAATACATTTACAAATAGAAAATACAATTTTAAATTATCCATGATGAAAAAAAGCTGTTAACTTTTATTTAGAAAATTATTTATTATTCGATTTAGGTTAAATTGTGACTTACATATCACGAGCAACGCGAAGAAAACAGCGTACAGTAGCATTTCTCGAATGGAACATTTAACGTACAGATCTCTGTCGCCAAGGTCGACGGCAATTTGACGGGTGGCCAATATCACTGAAAATTGTAAAAATTATGTAAATTGTGAAATTATTTAGGTGTTCATTTATTGGGCAAATAACATAATAGCATAATACATCTTTGGGCGGTAGGCCTGTTGCAGATATGTACCAATGTACAATGTAAAACTGATTTTACTTATGCAAGACAACTTAAGAGTCGAAGGAGATAGTAGACGTGGTAAGCAGAATTTAACATGTCGTTGGATTAAGTGGAAAAAGTAGTAGAGTAATGGTGTTTTTTAGATAGAAGGGATTTTCTACATTTTAAGATCAAAAATAAGTGTAGGAAATATTTAGAATTATAATATTAGTGTATTATCTATATAAATTTTATGACTAACAAAATAATTTTTTCAGTAAGTAATCAAGTATACAAATATAATAGTTTACTAGCAAATAATAATTTAAATATCATAAAATAAATTTCTAGGTACTCATTTAATTAGCTGGACAAATTTTCTTGACCCGAGTATCTATACTAGCTATATTAAATTATAATTAAATAACTATTTAGCTATTCATAAATCATCCAATTATTACATTTTTGAATTGTTAAAACAAAAAACAGATTTTGACATAGTAAATATTAATACAAAAGTATAAAACAATTAAAATTTGTTGAACAATAATATGTAGGCTTATTAAATTGGTAGATTTTTAGTTAATGTTATTTTATAATTTATAGTACCTACCTATTAAACAACATTGAAATTTGGTAAAATCTATTTAAAATATATATCTAGGTGTCTTATTTAATGAAAAATAATTTACTGAAAATATTAGCTAGTTGATAACCAGTTTTTAATAATTGTTTGTTAAAGTTTAAAACTTAAGACGTGAGACTTAGTTAAAAAATAAGTATTCAAAAGTATGCCAACCAGTGAAAATTTGCAGCAAATTATTCTTAATTTAAAAAGTTAATTAAAATATATATATATATGTAACCATTTAAGTTTCAAACCGACAGAGCTTTAAAAAAATACTATCTTTTACTTTTATAATACCTACTGTAAAATATTTATAACATAATAAAACATTTTTTTGTTTCAAAATAAAACTACAAAATTACAATTATTTTAAGAGATAATAATAGTGTCCCACGTTGAATTGATCACCCTATATATAGCTCGGCTTATTAAGGATAAGATACCCATTTTCTCTTAAAATACAGACAGTTTAGTTTATGTTATTCTGCAACAATTATTGTTTTTCATTCAGAGCTCTTAGACGACTTAGAGAATTTAGATGGCGGTAACGTATATTATTCAAATTCTATAAGGTTTTTGAGTTACTTAAGAATAATCTGTAAAGTACAAAGTTTAATACCCTTAGGACGGAAATTGATTCATGTAAGTTTTCAAAAGGAAAAACTACAAAATTGTCATTTTTTTTTTAGGAAAAAATTAGTGTCTTCTCCTTTATGAATCCCCTTGTAATGCCTATTATTATTATTATTAAAAATAGGGTTATTATCGAGGTTGCGAATAACAATTGGAAAAATCCAATATATTATTATTGTCTTAGCGTAGGTACCTTTCGGCTTTTCGGTGGTTACGTCATTATTCAAAGGTGGATCTTGGCGGTGATGACGACGATGATGTCGATGGTGGTGGCGACGGTGTTTAATTTCATAGGCCATACCAATATTTTATCCTACTCTCTACCCCCACAAAAAAAAAACAAAAAGCACAATCGAATAAATTATTGCGATCATGTTTAAATATGACACACAACTTGCGAGGCAACGTTTGTTATTAACCGCCAAACTGTTGCCACACGACCTTCTATCAGATGTTAATTTTGTACAATAAACATTATACCAGTGAGCATTTTTTTAACTGCAATGTGTAGATGAGAAGATATTGGTTTTTTTTTTTTTACAACGATGTGTTTTAAAAGGCAATTAGTTAAAACACATTGTACATTACAATAATTGTATACACATTTTATTAGTGAGTAGGTAATTCATCACATTAAACATATCTATACTTCTACATCTTTACAAGATCAAAACAAATTGAAAACACTTTTAATTATGTACGTTAATTGAACTAAAACGTCATGTTCAATCCCAGTGGTATACTTTTCCCGGGAGAGGCAGTTGAGTCGTTTTGACGGATTCTCCAGCTGGTATCCTAAAAAAAATTAACAATATGTCATAAACTTACATCATAAGTTATATACACGGTATGTTATATCAAGAATATACTGTATATATATTTTTCTTTTGTAAAATACAGTTAAGATAGATGGATAGATTTATTATATTTTAATTTTATAAGATCAATATACTAATATTACATTATACTATGCAAAATATAATATAAACAATATACTATAATGATTGTCTCTGTAAGTGAAGCTTGTTATGGAGACAAGTGTTCTTTCTTTTACTAAAATGTATATATATATATATTAGTTTGAAAACAATATAATAATAATTTTGTAAAAAAGGAATTTTGAAAAAAAAATAAGCTTTAGCACTTTTTAGTAGGAACCATTTTGTAAATCATTCCAAAATATTTTATATAGTCCAATCAGTCATAATAATAGTCACTGCTTTAAAAATAGTGACATAACTCAACATTTTGTAACTTCACTTAAACTGGTCTAAAACCTACAATATGTCATTATTCTTGTTTGAGGTCTTTACTATTTTCGAACACAAATCAAAAGTAAATTCAATTTATAGGATACATTTATAACTTTAAAACGTTGATTACTGAAATTAGAGATTTTTGAGTTGTGTCACTATTCTTAATGCAGTGTGAATTATTGAACACAATACATTCAGTATTTTTAAAAATATTATTCTATAGTTACTTTGCATTTTCAATATATTGAGTAGATTGCTCCACAACAACTATTGGCGGAGTTACTTCATGGCGTGCGTCCCGAACACAATAATAATTGTTGTTTACTTTATGATGGGGTCCGCCCGGAACGTTTGGAGGTGGTTGAGTAGCAGCAGACACTTCATTGGCCATTCTCACATTGGGTTTGAATTTACGCTACAAATATGTTAATATACATTTTAAATATTACTTAATAATATTATTGTATAAAATCACTTTCAAATAAACACATTAATGCGTATCTGTAGATATATGAGCATTGTTAATAATGTGTTTAAAACTGTATTTTTAGTATTAGAGTGGATATGATTAGCGTTGGTTGTCTGTCTATATTAATTTGTTGCTGTTGTTATCCATATATCGTAATTAATAATATAATAAAAATATTTTTTTAGAAATCTATTGACTGTTGATTCAATTTATTCATAAATTATAGGTGTTATTTTAAGTTGGGGACTAAACCTATCCAATCCCACCAAGCAAGGTGGGTTGTTATAAGTGAAGCAACACATATAACAAGTGCCTATAGCCATAAAAATGATAAATCCGCCTCCGACCTTATTATATAATTAGATCCGCATGTATAACAAAATAATGCTAACGGTTGATGTACGTAGTTTTTTACAGTTATCAGTCCAAAATGTGTAGAATGATAACTGATCACGAGTCGGAATTTATAGGGAAAATAATCTGTAATAACATCTTCAAATGGTGAACAGACGGGTACTTTGATGGTAATAATCCAACTATATTATTTTTGAATATATTAGTAAATAAAGATGGAAGCTCACATGGAATTATACTCAAATCAATATAACAAACATTCAACATATTTGCGTTTATTTTATATTTACTTTTTAGTTTGGGTTAGTTAATAATTTTAAGAGTGTTGTGTTTTTAGTACTTTTTTTTTTTTAAATCAAATATGTATAATTCGGATAACGATGCAGTCGTTGATACGACCGTTTCCAATGTCAAGATAAAAGTGATTAGTTACAATATTTATATTTTATTTAGTCACTTACTCCGCCTAAGAACGTTCTCAGAGCCGATATGAAACCGGATGGTTGAAACTGTGAAGGAATTTTATAGACCCAATTTGCCATTTTTCAGTATTTTAAATAAGTTTACTGCCAATTAACAAAAAAAAAAAAAAGAGTTTGAAAATCTACCTAGAGAATTTCTTTTAAATTAATTTCTTATCGGATTTATCAAATATGCAGCTGCTGTTATCAATTAAAATATATTCTATTGAAAAATATTATAATCAGATTACCAGCAGCTGTTGCCAAGGTTTATACCTACCGTTCTAGTGTATTATATAATAACAGCTGCTCAGTAATAATTTTTAATTGGACAACTAACCATTAAACAATTATGGTATGCCTTATGCAGCTATTTAATACAAAGCAAGTAGCAACGTTTATTTTATTATTCATATTATATAATATCACGTCTTCAATAAGACAATATTGTCAATAATTATGAAATGCTGTAAAGGAACAGCTGACGTCCTTGATAACAACAACAATAACATTGATAATATAATATAAACGTCGTAGTAGAATTACATTATACTATAATATTAAAATGTCAAGTATAACATAAATTCTACTGCAGTAGTTGTCTGTGTAGATTGTTGTTATTGTTTTGCTACTATGTTTAGTCAAAACAACGACAATGGTATTTTTTTCACATTTATTTTGCCGAAGTCTTAAAAATGACCCCTTATTCCGATTTATGATGCGCGTTATATTATAACAGCTATCGTGTCGACTAAATTCAAAAAATTTTTTGTTGACAAATCAAAAAAAAAAAAAAAATGCCATTGCCCTGTATTGGACACTCATAAAGTTACCTACATTAAATCGGGCGTTTGAATAATTGTACAATGTCTGCCGATTCTCCTTGTAAAGCGTCCAAACATGTTATTGGAAAAACCGTTTTGCCAGGACCCATCGTTGACCGATCGATCATTAACAGTGTCACCGGCTTCATTCAAGACGTAGTTCCTCATGTGAGTATAAATGCATCTCTTTCATATGGGTGATGTGTATTTATGTAAATTTCCACTTTCAGGGTTATTCTACCGTGGTCAATGTCGATAACAGAGAAAAAATACTTTGGACACAATTCGAGACTTTAGATCCCAATGAATTTGCCTTCAACTATGAAAACGATGAGACGCTCATGTCTGGCGTCTCGCCTATACTTCTTGTCTTGGGTTATGGATTTGGTGTCCAGGTAAATAACCATAATATAGTGTATTGAGAACATAATTTAATTATTAATAATATTTTAGCAATATTATGTAAAAACTAAAAAACAAAAAAGTATCGTTAAAAAAAATATTGGTCAGTGGCCAGTTGCAGAAGATAAAATATAAATGCTTATAGATTATTTGGAACTTTTTTATTTTATTTATTTAAAATTGTAAATAGACTAATTAATATATATTTGAGAATCTGTTTGATTTAAATTTTTGCTGTAGACAATAAGTAGGGTTATCATAATATTATCTTTAATATACGCTATTTAGGGTAGGTTAGGTTAGGTAGCCGTATATACTCTAATTGTGTACTTATTTAAACTTGTATAACCTATGACTGCTATGTACATAGGTTTCTGTAAATGAAAAAAAAAGAAATAATTAATTGAATTTTCAAATACAGAACTTAATAATTTTGTTTAATATTTTTATTACAATGCATATTATGTTATAGGTATGGTATATTGGTGCCAACGGTGAAGCTTATGAAGTTTTATCATGGTCCCAGGGTATCGTTAGAGTCTTAAGATTTATGCCTTCCCATCATCCAGATTTAAAGTTCCGACAAGATCCGTTTGCTCATAAACGACCTTTGATTGCTTTATGCGATAGCTCAGGTGCTGGACCACAATTTTGTTCCGTTAGTTTTATATCGTTGACTTGCGGAGATGTGGTATGTGAAACGTTTAAATCATTTGTATTACAGGATAGTGCCCACTTTATCTCGATTATTATTTGTTTAGGTGAAAACAATCAAATTTAAAAACCCTGTAGTAGACATAATTGTGAATCGATTTGCTGTAGCAGTTGTATTCCTGGAAAGAATTGCTGTATTTGACGCATTAACAGTTGAAGACATAACGACGATCACTACATGTTATCCGAGTCCTGGTATTAAACAAAATCCTATAGCGCTAGGAACCAGGTATTTTATTTGAAATAAAAAACAACATTATTAGAATTCATCTAACCAATCTGTATACTACCCCACAGATGGTTGGCTTATGCAGATCAGAAGTTGGTTTCGTGGAGTCGATCCATCGGAGGTTACGAAGGCGAAAACGGACATTCATATACGGCTACGGTTCTACATGCAGCGAAAACATTAAGTCAAAGTTTGCGTGACTTGAGTGGATCTGTGGCTAATAGCATAACTGGGGTTCATAATTCAAATTCGACACATAATATGTCAGTCATAAATGATGCCAATCAAATGAATCCGGGCATAATCACAATTGTTGACATTAAAGTATGTACATACACAATTGTTGTGTTCCCATATTAACTCTTTTTTTTTTTTTTTAATTTATTTTTATTATTATTTATTTTAGAATAAAGTATTAAAAGAAACCACTTCCCATGGGCCTGACATCGTGGCTCATTTTGCTGCTCATTGTGAAGCTATTGTAGCACTAAATTTCGATCAGTCGGGATTGATGTTGATCACTGCCGATAAGAATGGCCATAGGTTTAACGTGTTCAAAATACATCCAAACGTGTTGGGTTCATCATTTGCATCAGTACACCATTTATATACATTACACCGGTATAGTTTTCTTTTTATTTATTTACTTAAGACAGTTTTCTTTTTTAATCAATTTTTATTACTGTAGGGGTGATACAACTGCCAAAATTCAAGACATACAGTTCTCGAGCGATTCAAGATGGGTAGCTGTAAGTTCATTGAGAGGGACAACTCATTTATTTCCAATCACACCCTACGGAGGACCCATTGGCCTGCGAACTCACTCAACTCCACATATTGTAAATAAATTATCCAGGTAAATAAAAAATATGAATAATTATATTAACTTATTAAAGTGTTAACTTTAGTTATTAACTAAAGCTTAATACTTTAGTTTCCATGTGGTAATAATTTAACTAAACATTGTAATTAATATGATTATTTTTGCACTAGATTTCACCGCAGTGCAGGATTAATATCGGATGGCAGAAATAGTCCAGTGATGACAGAGTCATTTCAAGGGTCTCAAATTATTTTACCATATTCTAATCCGTGTGTAATTCCAGTTCCACATCCAATAGTTGTACATTCATTGTGTCAAATACGATCGCAGCATAATAAAATAACGCCAGACGAAGTTGGTATATCTACTAGTATACGACTGTCCACTTGTTTCGGTCATGGCCGAGTTCTAGATACGATTATGATTAGAGATCTGTCAAAAGTGTCGTATAATCCCAAGAAAAACGTTGCCGATTCTTTATATATCATGACGAGTAATGGTATCTTAACTCAATACGATATGTTCCCAGTACATTCAAACTGTAAGTAAAATAATTCACTTTTGTATAGTGCCCTAATTAAAATATCCAATTAGTTTGCTTAACACCATTATTGACAATTGTCTTGTTGATAACATATTTTAGCTATATCCAAAGAAAAATTATTCGATGACGCAATGATTGAATTAAATATTGATCCGAAAACTGAATGGAACTTATACAAACCTCCTCTTCACGCATCAACAGTCAACCCTCCGCTAAATAGGGGCAACCCGCTATTGGATCTGTTTGTGCATTTTCCGGTTTCGAATATGACAAATAGTACTGAAAAAAAATCTTTGGAAAATATAGACGAACGTTGGTTGTCTCAAGTAATGATAAAATTTGTCATAACAAATTACATATTTTGTTAACGTGTGTTATTTTGTATTACAGGTTGAAATCAGCACGCATGCTGGTCCACATCGCCGTCTTTGGATGGGACCACAATTTGTGTTTAAAACTTGTAATTCTACAATAATAAGGTAACGCTTAATACAACGCTCAAAAATTAATTGTGAGTTTATGCATAATGACAATTTTATTCTTTCAAAGGTCTGAATCTGATACTCAGTTAAATGATAACGAAAATGGTCCTCGGCTATTAAAATCAAACCCAGTCAGTGTTCCCCAAACGGGTAGTAATTACAGGCAAAGCACTCCAGTATTTATTGAATGTGGCTCAAATAGTAAGTATAAACATTAAACAATTGTTATGATTATATTTGATATTACTTTTTCATCATGTTTTAACATTTTCAAAAGTGACATGAGTCTATTGAACCTACTTTACTGCTAAAAAGGCCAATAGGATATTGTTTAAAATATTATGCTTAAGCGACAATATTTATTCATTCGCTAATCACTAATAAGCTAAATATGTGTATTTTACTAGATTAAAAACAAATGGGTAAAAAGTTTTAGATTTATAGATTTTATTTATTGTTTTGTAGTACATTAATTGAATTTCCCCGTAAGGACTTGCTAGTCTTAAGTAATATTTAAAAAATAAATAACTAATGTAATTTTTTGCTGAGATATTGTTTGAAAACATACAAAAATTTGTTGTTACTAATTTAAAAGATACACATTAATTTATATATAACCGCTAAATAGACTAAATTATTAAAATTAAAAATACATTAATTGAGTATAATTTATTTCCAATAGGTAGATACAAAAAATATCCATAATTTTTGTTCACTTTTAAAATTATGTAATTTCCTGTTGCACGTTGTCTCATTATAAAAGAAAGCAGTTCCAAGCGTCGTTACTTTTTGAATTAGTTTCTTTCCAACACTGCTAAATTTATTACTACCGTTTGGTAAAATGTCTTTTTTTTCAATTAAGCTAAAATAAATAAATGTTGTATATTATAGTAGTTATGTAAATTTATCAGTCAAACAAAATTGGACGCGTTATTAATTTGTATTACATTTATTTTGTTTTCAGGTAGTTTCGATTATTCGCCAAAGTTTCTAGACATCAACCAAGGAGACTCATCAGATGTATCGTCAGATCAAGGCGATAGCAAGATACTCGAAGACTTGGCAGAAGCCATGAACGATAACCTTCAAATCGAAAAAACTGGTAATAACAGTATGATCAATTAATTAATAATAATTATAAAAAAAAAAAAAAAAATAGAAACGAATGGTTCATATCGTTTACGCTCGTATCAATAACATGATTAAACCTTTGAAACAACTAACATTTCAGTATAAAGTAATTGGGTTTTTCTTTCAGACCTTTCAGAAACGGAGATGGCCGACGAAAGCCCGTATACCATACAAACTGTTACGACCAAACGGTGTAAAAAAGCGAAAAAAAGAAAAAATAAGTAAACGTAGGTGTTTAATCAAAATTGTATTAGGTAATTTATATTGTTAGTCAATAATATTATATTTATTATAATTATCGCAAAAGAAACCATTGTTGTGCACAATTTCGATTTAATTGTTCCAAGTGAAATTTGAATGTAAATTTTTTTTTTTTTTTTTTGTTATTATTATTTAAAAATTGCATGTAAATAGATACCAAACATCAAGTGGATACAACAGTACGTCGTCGTGTTTATTCTAACCGAATCCATTAGTTTTAGAATATTTATAAAATCTATATTTATTCATTGACTCTGTTTAATTGTTGTTAGATTTAACGGTGTAATATAAACGATCAATTAGTATGCATTTTATTAAGCTTTGTAAAACTTGTTGTCATTTGGTTATCGTCGTGGTTTGTATGTGCTCGATTATTTGTAAAGTATCGTTTGAATACCATTGGGCGTGTGCCGCGCAAAATCAGGTTGGCTGCGGCGGTTCGGTGAGTATTGTCTTGGGATTTACCTACAATAATAATAATAATAATATGCCGAGCTAAATATTACAAAGGTTCACACGTCATGTGTGTGTGTGTGTGTGTTGTTGGTAAGCTATCGCGATATTTCATTTATAGCCAAATGCTGCTACGAAAACAGACGAGGCGCCTCGTTTGAAGTCGCCAATCGATTTTGTCGTACAGTACGGCTACTGTTATGTCATGTTCATGGTAGCCATTTATTTACATTGCTTGTATACGTCGTTTGACCGATCCGCTGTGGTCGTTGTTGGAGAAAATAGCGACACGGAAGACAGTGTTAGTGTGCCAACTGTACTATCTGTCAACGAGGACCTCGACGCATTAGCCGACGACGACGGTGGCCCTTCGATTGTTTTGTTCAGCACCCAATCATTCGAACGCCGGACATGGAGCGGTGATTGGAATAAACATTTCAACGACAAGGATGATTATTGAATTTACACGGTGAAAACATTAAAAACGACGTAAGGACACAACGAAAAGTTTTAAGTAACGTTTTTTTTCTAGTTGAATTTCTAGTGTTGTTTGTTGAGAATCCAGTGAACGTTTTTTTTTTTGGGGGAGGGGGGGCTACTAATTTTCACATAAACTCGAGTCACGTGGAACTAACGATTGTTCTCTAAACTTAGTGAAGGAAACTAAATAAAAAAAAAAAAAATTACAATTTGTACATTTTTTTTTGTTGCATTTATTACACTAATAACAAATAATCTGTTGAGCACACTCCATTCTTTTGTTAAATATTATCCAAATGTCTAATAAGCAATGCTACTATAAAATGTGTAAAAAATAAAACATTAAATAACACTTTCTTGCACGAAAAACCTTCCAAAGCATAACCTTAACAACTCGTTGTTCATTTTGAATGGCCAAGAGAGGTGACACAGTCAATTTACACAAAAACGTTAAGTTCAGAAATACACAATATACTACTCTTCAAGTCTTGACTAGGAAAATTCACCTGCATGGTAGTTACTATACGAAAAACTACAATGGTAACCTAACCTAATCGTTTTGAAAATAATTTAGTAACCTAACCTAACACCAATAACATTATAACTAATTGTTTATCAGAGGTGCTGCTAGTTAGGCTACAACTTTATCAGAACACCAAAAACTTTACAAATAATTTTTTCATTAAACTTATACTATTTCTATAGATTATATTCTTAGGTTTAATAGTTGGCTTGAATGTCGTTGCTCGTGACATTTATACTATTTTACAAGTAAACTAATTGAGCATACATTTAAGTAACAAAATTATAAAAAAGGCTTTCAACAACGAACACAAAAAATTAACTCAATATTAGCATGACATCGCAGGACGATGAAATAAAGAAATGTATAAATGTCTCTTTGACCAGGCACAACTTTTATAGGAAAAAACACCAAGTACCGCCATTACAAATCAGCGATAAGGTACCTATAGACATGTAAAGCTGCTTAAAACCATGACGAAAATTTTGTATTTATTTTTAACATAATTAACGATAAATTTAGGTCGTTATTTACAATTTCTATAAAATACACACAAGGACTTACAACAAATTCAGTGCCTACAAAATTCATAAAATTCACTGAATTATGTTATGATATTCTAAAGAAAATGATAAAAATCCATTCGGAACTTTTTTGATATTTAAATAATTTATTTTCCATTGGCCACAGCTTAACGCCATTAGTCAAGAGTGGGCCAACCATTTGGCCAAGGAAGACAAATGTTATCACAGACCCAACAGCTCATATGGCGAAAATATATTCTGTTATTTTAATTCAGAAGGCAGCGATACTTTACAAGACCTCAGTCAAACAGCGGTTGATAGTTGGTACGATGAAATAAAATATTTTAAGTTTGACTGGAAAGAAAAAGATATGGGCGATGCTAACAAATCTCGTAAGTAAATACAAATATTCATGTTCACTTGTTTAACCTAAAATTCACATAAAAATATTTGGTGATGCTACCGCACAATCTACCTGCCTAAATATTTTAATCCGTAATTGTATTTATCTAGATCATTTCACTCAGACAATTTGGAAAGCCAGTAAAGAATTAGGAACAGGAGCAGCTAAGAGTGAAAAAGGAGTTGTGTATTTTGTGTGCAATTATAACCCAGCAGGAAATGTTTTAGGACAGTTTGCAGAGAATATCAACAATTCATCTGAAAAATAACAGACATATTTAAGCTAATTAGTTTATCAAATAGTTAATAAATAGTTGTATGTCCTTATTACTGAAGCAAGAACTCAAATGTTCCAGGGCCGAATGTCTTAATATATAAGAACAACATAATTTGTATGGATAGCGTTGTGTACAAATAACTAGATAATTAGTGCTCACACTATAGACCTTCAGACAACGCATAGAAGGAGTTTTAAACCAACTGAAAACCCGTAATAAAATTATATAATCAAAGCTAGAGACGTCACGCAAGAGTAATACTTATGGTTGTCAGCTTTAACAGCATTTTTACACCAGAATAATTTGGTTTTCATTTCATCAAAATCGGTACAGTAGTTAAAAGCGGAAAAAGGGAATGAACAAACATACAGCGTATCACACTTCTTTTTGGCGCAGCCGGGTAACTATTTGGGTAACACCGTTGTTATATTATACTGCTAATAAATTCTCGCCAAGGGATCTTAAAAACTCTTTTAATTGTGTCGAAGTGATTTTGGAAAACAATTTTAGAATAATAGATATTTTTGATGTAGGGCGATAGTTGGTAATTAAGTTCTTATTATCTTTTTAAAGGCAGGGTTAATAAATGTAAATTTCCATAATGTGGAAAAATAACCATTATTTAGTGAAAAAATAAAAAGATATTGAATTGGGCGAGAGATCTACAGCTATACAAAAAAGTCGAGGATAAGCCGTCGGGCCCAACTGCAATTATATTATTACAGAGGAAAAATATAGACTAAAAAAGTCAACTATGCTTTGAGGATTGTCGGCTACATTGCCAATGAATGAAAAAGAGTTAGGGAAACTTGGAGATGACCTAATATTTTTTTATAAAATACCAAAATCTATTTGGGTTGGATTTTAAGAAGTGTTGAGTGAAATTTATATAATTTGAATAATTGATTTTACTTTAATTTTTGCATTGTGTACGAAGTGATAAAAATTAAAAATAACCATAATGATCGTTAGATTTTTTATAGAGTGCGTGTGCAATATTTTTGTTTTTAATTAAAAGTTTTAATTTGTTTGAGAACCAATTGGGAAATTTGTTACTGAATATTTTTCTTTTTGAAACGTACGAGTTGATGGTAAAGAATAGAATAGAGTAAAATTGTTCAACATTTACATCAATATCATTACTTGAATGAAATATATCTGTCCAATCTACGGAGCCGAGAAACAAATAAATAGAATTATAATCGCCATTTCAATCAAATGAAGCCTCTGGAACTGGGAAATGTAAATTGTTAGTGAGTAATGTATAAGTTAATTTTAATGGAGGATGATAATTATCAATAGGAACTATGGAATCGGAAAGACAACTAATATGATCTGAAAAAGAATGTGTTAAAAACGAGATCAGTCATTGTATTTTTTATGATTTGAAATGGAATTTATTTGAAGTAGATTTAATAAACATAATTTTTCAAGAAAAATATTTACAGAGAAGGTAAAATTAAAATCTAATGAATTCTTATTTAGAGTTAGTAAGTTAAAATCACCAAATAGTAATACATCTATATCAGGATAGGTTGAAATAAAATGTTTAACAACATTGAAATATTCTATATATAAATTTGAATTAGAGCCCGGGGGGAAGTAGACAGAACCTATTGTAAGTTTTTTTGAGTTATTTAATTTAACTAGAATAAAACATTATTCTAAAGAATTAATAAAAATATCTAATTTAGAAGATACATATTTACCACTCGTAGAAATTAGAACACCACCACCCCTAGAAAATGAACTAGTTAAGTGGAGATTTGTCGCATTTAAAGATAGAGAAATTGTGAAATCCGAGTTCAGAAGAATTAACATTATTATTATAGACTCCATATAACAGAGGTTGATCTATTAGATAATCTATAATGTAGGGCCATGTTTTAGTAAAAATAAATGCATCAACACGTGGTATATGAGTTTTCGTATATCAATTTTTGTATTAAGGCCTCTGACATTCTGATAGTAACATTTAAAAGAAGAAGAACAAATAGAGTTAGTCAGTTTTTTGGATTAGATATTATAGGAGTACCATTATAATATTTTATAATTAAATCAGGTTCACCATTCGATCTTCGACGAACATTGAACATATGATCTCGCTGAATTTTTGTGCGGTTGGAGGAAAATCGCAAGTGTTTCCATTCGGCACTGGATTTTAGTTTGATTTGAAATGAAAAAATAGAGTAGATAAGGCGGCTTTGATTAGAAAAAAACATAATTTAATTGTTCTCGGTTTACTGGAGGTCTTTGGTACAAGACCTGGGCGGGAAATATGTGTAGGTTGAGCTTGGAGTCCCAGATGGTCAAGAATGTCTTGAACAGATGTATTATCGTCGGAAGGGTTGGTAATAGATTCGGGTGGATTAAATAGCAAAACATTTTTTAATCTGGATTGTCGATCCATCATTTCTTCACTAACGTTATTTACCGCCTTGTTTTGATCTAATGATTTTAAATTAGTTTCAGTGTCAGTAACACGTACCTACAAACACTCGTTATCAACTGATTATCACTGTCGAGGCGAATTATAAGGTCGTCCACACGAGTTGTGAGTTTAGATCATTTTTCGGACTGGGAATTAACCAGAGCAATGAGTTTATTTTGCGACAATTTTATTTCATTGACACTTTTGATTAGATCATTTAATTTACATAGTGAAATATGTGTGTAAGATTACAGAGAAAAGTAACAAGTAACTATTTTCCATCGAGGTGACGGGTAAATCTATCACACTATTGCAATAACTGGTTTAGCGCACAATGTTGCATGTATTAATAGTTAAATAATAAAATATTGACTGACGAATGTGTACCGAATAAATTTGTTTAAATTTTAAAAGTTATGTATACCATCTTTATGTGCATTGTTTACTATTGAATTTCGTGTTGAACGGTGTGTTTTCGTATCGGTTTCCATTAGACCTTTTCATAAGCCAATTGCTTTAGCTTTCTTATGGTTATACGCGAACAAGAGCCATACTGTCATTTGAAAATAAATAACTAAAATATTATAAAACAAAATTAGTACAATACATAATGGGTCTGAGAAAATCACAGGGTTATATATACATAAAATCGGGTATAGTTACTATAACTATTTTTTTTTGTTACCTAGCACTTCGCAATTTTTTATTATTTTAAAAAACGTGAGTACGCCAAGTTAAGCTGGAAACACTAATCATAAAGTCCAAATGGCTATACAAATTTTGTCGGATCATTTTATTGGAATCTATATAAAAAATCAAAATAATATTTTGTTTAGTTCATGGTTTAAACGAAAAATATTGAGGTTCAAGGGACATCAAAAATATGAAATGTCTATTTTTATAATTCATAAAAATGGAAAAATAAAAAAAAATAACTTAATTAGCCTAAAGTATTAAATAGAAATTATTCACACGCCTATTCCTGGGAATTGACAATTTATGTTTTTAACACAAATTACCAAAAAAATTGCTTACTTACAAATTGCTACTTTAGAATAAAAGAGGAAATTTTGAGGGGAAACCCGACTATAAATAAAAATGTTTGCGTGTAATCGATTATTTTATAATAAATCCTATTATTTTAATTAAAAATTAAGTGATATCAAGTTGGGCAAAAAAAAAAGTTAAAATAAGGACAACTCTGACGTAGAGTATACAAAAAATTGCTTTTATAAAGTAGTAATTTTAAAATGGTGGTTAACGTACGCAATCCGATAATAAATGCATAGATCGATCTCCAATATTTGTCGGTTTGAATAACTACTATGATGATAGTCGCCAGATATAATGCTGCGAAGATGTACTGAAATATTATGTATTCTACAAGGCAAACCTTAATTACACCTGTGTCTATGTTCGTTCCTAATATATTTGCACCCTATAAAAAAAATACACTTGATTAGGCCAATTAAAAAGGGTATTAGTAAATTTTACACTGTTTTACAAGAGAGCTATATGAAATTTGTTTTTCCCTGCCATTGAAGTCCATTTATCCTTCAATATTATGTATTTTGAAACATTTTTGTATTATGTTAAAATCAACACAGATAATTAACACATTGCCAAATATTGTATAAATATGAACATATACCCTTTTGGATCTAATTATTTCATTAAATTTTTTATACATACGTGAGTTAAATTTAAAATTTAAATTCTTATGAGTGTACTTACTTCGAGAAAATAATTTTTTGTTACAAAGCATAGAGAGAAGATGAGGATACAAATATTTATGCATATGGCATACGTATACGGCGTTTCCTCTGTTGTATCTGTAATATAGTATGTTAAAATAAATATTAAAATTGTGAAGAAAATTGCTGAACTTAAGTTCAACTTACTATGTTGTAAATATGAGTAAGCTGACATCAATTGTATTAAGTCAAATAACGTGTAAATCTAAAAAACTTGATTGTATTTTGGTTACAGTGTTTGTTAAAGGGTTTCCATTAAAAATAATAGGCTTACCCAAAAAAAAAGCATGGTATAGTAGACCCATTTTTTATTTGCCATTCCACAGTGTGAGTCATCTCTACAACAAGGAACACAATTATATAGGTTGGCGTATATAAATATATCTAAGCATATAACACCGGTGCACATTTTAATTATTAAGCGGTAGTCGTTTCTATAATAAAATAAGAGTTTCACTATATAGATCAAATTAAACTGTCAAACGGCAACAACACGTTGCTACCGTGTAAATCGTAGATTCATTTTCATGTTATGGCCAGCATAGCATAATATGATAATATTGAAACGGTAACAATATAAAATATATGATTAAATGTAATTGTTACTTTATTTTGTATGGTGGTAACAGGTAACACTGTACCACACCATTTAGTTGTAATATTGTACACCTATCTGTTAATAAAACCTGTTCGGTTAGTCCACGCTAAACAGTCATACGCGTTGCTTCTTTTGCTCCCTCGCTTATTTTCTCTCTAGCACTAAACACCTTTAGTAATTTATTTTTCGACTATAAGTGTGGTAACGA